CCCTTCCTTCCCCCCCTGCCCCTCCAGCCCCCTCTGACTTGGGTAGGTAAAACTCTTTGGGGTAGGATGAAAACCTTATATTTTCTTAATGGTATGGGATTCTTTGGGCGGGTGGGTTTTTTCCGTTGCCTGAACACACTACTGGCCTACTAAATGCTCGAACTTGAGATGCTGAACCCTAAGCCCTAAACCCTAAACCCTAAGCCCTTTCTGCTGCAAAGCACCGCCGAGGCGCGCGAAGCGTTTTTTTTGTTACGAAGCTGCCCGCCGTGGCAGCAACTACATGGGCATTTCCCACCATAGATATTCTAGCCAGAATAAAATAGAATTCCCTGAAGCAGACCCCCAAAAAAGGATTTAGGGTTTAGGGTTTAGGGTTTAGGGTTTAGGGTTTAGGGTTTAGGGTTGAGGGTTTAGGGTTGAGGGTTTAGGGTTTAGGGTTTAGGGTCCCCCATTTTCGGAAACACCCACATCGCCATTCAAACGCAAGTCCACCGCGAGTGCCTCCTGCAGCCTCTGCAGCTGCCGGCGTTCCTCCTGGGTATTGGGCATTGGGTTTAGGGTTTAGGGTTTGGGGTTTAGGGTTTAGGGTTTAGGGTTTAGGGTTTAGGGTTTAGGGTTTAGGGTTTAGGGTTTAGGGTTTAGGGTTTAGGGTTCCGGGTTTAGGGTTTAGTATCCCACAGTTAGGCCTCTGTCACAATGTCTCGGGTGGCTTCTGTCGAATCTCAACCGAAAAGAAGGGATCGCACCACATCATACAGCACGATATAGCGTGCCAGAAGCTAACTTTCTGTTGCATTCAAGGCCTTTTCTTCTGTTGCATTCAAGGCCTTTTCTTCACGAAAATCATCTCGCACGCTGCAACACACGGCACCACACATCAAGCCACCCTCCTGGAACTGCAGCTGCTCCTGAGCGAAGCTCAGGATCTCTGAGGGTTCGTGCTTTGTGGTACTCTGGTCTCGAAGCAACTAAACCCTAAACCCTAAACCCTAAACCCTAAACCCTAAACCTCTTGGAAAGGATCTGGGCACCCTGCGTCTCGGAGAGACTGGACTTCTCGGCGCATCTCCTGTGAATGCGTCAGATAGACACTGCAATGCCACCACTTTAGGGCTTAAGGTTCAGGATGTAGGGTTTAGGGTTTAGGGTTTAGGGCTACTAAATCTCATGGAACCCTAAACCCTAAACCCTAATCCCTAAACCCTAAACCCTAAACCCTAAACCCTAAACCCTAAACCCTAAACCCTAAACCCTAAACCCTAAACCCTAAACCCTAAACCCTAAACCCTAAACCCTAAGGCGGTGGGTGCTCTGAACGGGCCCCGGCAACAAGAGGTCCAGGAACCCTAAACCCTAAACCCTAAACCCTAAACCCTAATGCACTGGAAAGCAAGACCGCGCCTGCGACAGCCTCTCCACCTGCAGCTCAGGCTCGTCTCTCATTTAGGGTTTAGGGTTTAGGGTTTAGGGTTTCGGGTTTTGGGTTTAGGGTTTAGGGTTTAGGGCTTCGGGTTTAGGGTTTAGGGTTTAGGGTTTAGGGTTTAGGGTTTAGGGTTTAGGGTTTAGGGTTTAGGGTTTAGGGTTTAGGGTTTAGGGTTTAGGGTTTAGGGTTTAGGGTCACAACTTGAACCCATCCGCTTGGGCTTGGGGCGCCTCCTGCAGGCGCCCGAGCTCTTGCTGCTGCCGCTCCAAGCGCCCCTGAGCCTCCAAAACAGGTTTAGGGAGGGGGGGCTTCGGGGTCTCTAGAGGTTTAGGGTTTAGGGTTTAGGGTTTAGGGTTTAGGGTTTAGGGTTTAGGGTTTAGGGTTTAGGGTTTAGGGTTTAGGGTTTAGGGTTTAGGGTTCAGATTTAGGGGCTAAGGGGCTTGGAGGGTTTGTGTGGGTTTAGGGGTTTTGAAGTCTAAGTCTTTGGGCTTCGGGGTATAGGGGCTTCGGGGTGTAGGGGTTTAGGGTTTAGCGGGTCTAGGGTTTTGAGGTTTAAGGTTTAAACCCTAAACCCTAAATCCTAAACCCTAAACCGTAAACCCTAAACCCTAAACCCTAAACGACTGGGAGGACAGCACGGCCTCCGACAGCTCCGAAGTGCGCGCCTCCCCCAAGAACACCGCAAGCAATGCAATGGTCGTAGGGTTCAGGGTTTAGGGTTTGGGGTTTGGGGTTTAGAGTTTAGGGTTTAGGGTTCGGGGTTTAGGGTTTTAGGGTTTTAGGGTTTAGGGTTTAGGGTTTAGGGTTTAGGGGTTCTGGGTCCCCAAAGTGGGGAGAGAGGAGGCAAGGGAGTGAGAGCAAGAGACTCTTGCAGTGGAAAAGTAACCAACTGGCTTTAACTATTTATTGTTCCTGCTGTGATTCCGATTTACTATTACTACTACTATGATGATTCTTTCCATTCCTCCTACGATATTATTTACTATTTCTAGTGCTATTCTGATTGTGACCACGATTGTTGTGTCTGCTATTCTTACTCTTCTGACTCCTACGATGGCTATGACAACCCAGCTGCAGCCGACTGCCTCGAGGGCGTGCGCCAAGGACTGTGCTTGTTCCATCTGGAGGGCCAGCTTTTCCCGCAGCTCCTCGCAAAGGCGCTGGGTGGTGCTCTCAAGACAGGCTTGGGCTGCGATGTTACTACGCTTCTGCCTATACAGATACACGATAATTATACTCGACATATGCTCTACTTATACTACGAAATACATATTCTGCAACTATGCTATATTTATACTCTGATTTATCTGGATAAGAAGGCTACTCAGAAACACCCCTGAGTTATAAAGGCCGGTGGCCTGAAACACCCCTGAGTTATAAAGGCCGGTGGCCTCTTTATCTGTTACCCATATACCTTAATATGGCCCCTAGATACCCTTATAAGAACTCCCTGCAAAACAGAAACCCTACTTAAAGAGACCACCGACCCTTAAACCCTAAACCCTAAACCCTAAAGCCTAAACCCTAAACCCTAAAGGAAACACCCCTGAGCTTCTCTCACGTAAGAAGCCCCAGTCAGACTCCTGCAGCTCTCGCTCCAGCAGCTGCTCCCGCTCGGTGCTCCTGGCGGCAAGGAGGAGGGGACTTAGGGTTTGGGGTTTAGGGTTTAGGGTTTAGGGTTTAGGGTTTAGGGTTTAGGGTTTAGGGTTTAGGGTTTGGGGTTTGGGGTTTAGGGTTTAGGGTTTAAGGCTAAGGGTTTAAGGACCACTGGACCATTCCGTGGCAGTCGCAGCTGCAGAAGGCTCCGGCGGATCTTTTCCGCTTCCGATTCTGCCTCTCTTGTCTGGCGCAACTGCCAGTTTGAGCCCGCTTTGGAGTCTCAAGACGTTGGGCATTCGGCATAAATAATCGTAATGGCAATTACACCGGCACTAAAAGTCACAGTAGTACTCAGGTAATTATCATAGTAGTAATAGAAATTAGAAAGGCGTTTGTGAATAGAAGACAGACACCTGACTCGCACGATGGCCCAGTGCCGATCTGGATGGTGAGACATTGGCATTTCCCTAAACCCTAAACCCTAAACCCTAAACCCTAAACCCTAAACCCTAAACCCTAAACCAGGATCCCGCTGAAAACTTTGAGCGGGAACGGCTCTGAGCTCTTTCCTCTCAGGAGGGCAGTTGCTGGTCATGAACCTGGCCATCTTGGGGCTTCTTAAAAATAGGGTATATATTTGTGTGTATATATATATATATTCTTTTTGTCTTTTGTGAGTTTTTTTGGGGGGGTCCCCTTTAAGGGGATTGTATTCTAGTTTGGGGTATGCAAGGGGCACCCTTTATCTTTGGGAAATGCACATCTATCTCCACACTTGCCACGCACTTGGCATCTCGCCCTTTGCAGGAGGAGGCCTAAACCCTCAACCCTCAACCCTCAACCCTCAACCCTCAACCCTAAACCCTAAACCCTAAACCCTAAACCCTGAACCCCAAACCTCATGTCTGACAGGAGCAGCGACAACTCACACGAATATCGCCCTCGCAGCAGTCTCTTGGACTTCTTTTGCCTTTGTCACTCCTGGGGGTGAAGAGATCACCTAGCTCGGCATCGTCGGCCAGGACGGAGCATCGGCTGCAAGCCTTCTAAGCCCTTCGTGGGCAAAGGTGGTACCCTAAACCCTGAACCCTAAACCCTAAACCCTAAGCCAAAACATGCGATGCCCACACTTAACAAGGCAAGGGCCCACCATGCGCCACAGCACTCCGCCGGGTCGAGCCATCAGCTCCTGAGCCACAGTTTAGGGTTTAGGGTTTAGGGTTTAGGGTTTAGGGTGTAGGGTTTAGGGTTTAGGGTTTAGGGTTTAGGGTTTAGGGTTTAGGGTTTAGGGTTTTAGGGTTTAGGGTTTAGGGGTTTAGGGGTTTAGGGGTTTGGGGTTCACAGAATGTCAACCTCTTAAGCTCAAAAAGCACGAGGAAAGATGAGGCGACGGCGCAGACCCCCTCTTAGTAGGGAATGAGGCAGGGCCCTGTACCCTTTAAGGGATTCTACAGGGCCGTAATTCCCTCTTTCCCTACTAAGAAACAGCAGAAGTGGACAAGTGAACGGACCCCAGGATCGCGCGTGAGGCCCTTCGCGCAGATCCGTGCTGGGGTGGGTCATGCTGAGCCATAGCGTGGGTCGTTTTCGGGTTTAGGGTTTAGGGTTTAGGGTTTAGGGTTTGGGGTTTAGAGTTTAGGGTTTAGGGTCTAGCCAGCTCGCTTGTTGGGTAGGCCTTTGCGGGCTCCGGCTTCGGACCTGTGAACAACTACCCGCCAATTTTTCAGGTGCGCGTGCACGGCAGAATAATTCTGGGGCAACAGCCCTACAAGACCCCCCCACAGACCCCCCAAAAGATTCCAAAGATCTCCCCAAAGGGGAGCGGGGAGGCGGAGGAGCCGCTGGTGGTTGTTTTTGCTTCTGGGCCCCTTTGCAGCCTGCTTGGCTTGATCAGATCAGACCTGGCAAAACCGCTTTCAATGAAAGAACCGGTTTAGGGTGTAGGGTTTAGGGTTTAGGATTTGGGGTTTAGGGTTTAGAGTTTAGGGTGAATGATCCCGCACTTCTGGAGCCCTACACATCGAGAACCCGTTGCCAGCGTCTTTCGTGAGCGCACACAAGATGCGCAAAAAGAATTTGGGCTTCTTGTCTCTCGGCCTCTCCGCTCAGGCGCGACGTGCGCGTGGCGGCTCTTTTTGCCCGTACATGACGACACCATCGCTGCGTGCTCCGGCTTTGCTGGTCTTGGACGCCTCATTCGGCGTACGAGGATTGTAAACAAAAATCGACATGGCCGACACGCAAGTTCCCCAAGCTTCCCATGGGTCGAAAAGCTTCGTCTCACAGCCGAGCTCCTCATTTCCCCTTGATTTTCTATCGTTGTCGGAATTGGCTGAAAGGTTTCGTGACATTGATATACGCTTGGACCCCCTGCCTCGTGTGTTCCCTTCTCTGCGACCACACCGTTCTCGAGAACGACGATCTGCTCCGCATCCTTTACCGTGGAGAGCCGGTGGGCAATGACCTTCGCATTCTGTGGGGGGGGGGGGGGGGGGGGGGATGTGCAGAAAACGACTTTAAAACCTAGTCTACATCTGGGCAAATGCTCGGTAGACTTGCGCTTTTGATTCGTGCTGGCGCTTCAGTATGGTGCAAGAATGGTCAGTGAGAGCCACAATCGAGCCGTGACAGCCCTGCGGAATTCAAGCCTGACATCAGGCCGCCCCGGTAGTTCTATCAAGTCACAATCACAGTCCTCCGCCTGCCCAAGCGCTTCGACCACTGCGCCTGCGACTGAGCCCTCCACACAGCTCCAGGCCTCTGGCTACTGCCTGCTGTTAGGCACTACTTTTTCCTGCCTTCTCAAAATGTAATCAAGTATATAACGCATAATATGATGCAAGATTGATCGTGGACGTTGATATATTGTAAGACCAGTGTAACATAATAAAAAACTTCGCAGAAACAACGTACACCATGCCATAACATACCCATACTTCAAACCAGTCACAAAGAAACAACCCTAAACCCCAAACCCCAAACCCTAAACCCTAAACCCTAATCTCCCAGAGGAGGTCCTCGCCTCGCGCAGAGCCATGGACACCTGCCTGCCAAGGTCGCAGAGCTTCTCACGGAGAATAAACCCACTGCCATGATCGTAGGGTAATTATGACTAAGTTATAGGGATGAAACCATACTACTGTCATTACTATTGCTATGATCCTTGGGAAAGTATGTACGAAGTTATACTACTGTCAGTACTGTTGCTACTTCCCATTGCCATCAAAAACTTTTGATAGCAACGGAGAATAACCCACTGCTCTGTATGAGATGTTACCCCTTATACTAACAGTCCTGAATAGGGATTATAGTACCCCGTGTTCTCATCCCGATTAAGGACTGTTAGTATAAGAGGGAACATCCCAAGTCAATACTGGCAAACTTATGATAGCAACAACGCGCGTTTGAGGCCGTGTTTAGTGAATTTCTCTGGACATGTGCAGAAACTCGATGTGTCTGCATTTTGGCCTCAGCACTTCTCTTTGGTGTTGTCCAGCGCGGAGCAACTTGAAAATGCTGTTTGTTTGGTGTCTTGCTTTTCTGCTCTTCGTTGTTTCAAGCAAGTCTGCAAACACATACTTGTCGATGTTTTCCCTACTCGTTTTTTGTTGCATTTTCTGAGTGGGAAGTAAGAATTCATGGATTTTTCAGTGTTTTGAGCTGATTGAAGTCAGGTGGCATACAAACAACTGCTCAACATCCTCTTCGTAATTCATGTCTCTTTGGGGTATAGGGTGAAGCTTACGGGCATGGACGCGCTGGCCAATCGCATTCGCAACAGGAACGGTATCATTGCATGGGCAACGTAATGACAAACTGGCGGGGAGCAGGGGCATTTTTCGGAAACACCACGTGGAAGTGAGGAAGTGGCAGGACGAAAGAGCAGACAGAAGACAAGCCAGCTACATGTGAAAACACCACGGAGGCGCACGGCTTGGCAGGAACAAGAATAATAACAACGAGACACTCGGAAAAATATTCGACCACTGTACAATGATGCTGTTCTGCATTTTTCTAGTAATGTTGTAATAGTATAAAAGTAAACAAGAAGAAGCAGCGCAACGCCAAGGATCCCCCAAAACAACGCGAAAACGCAGCGAAAACTCGTCGCCCCGAACCCCAAATCCCCCGCGTCCCAACCTGCTGGTGGAGGGATCCAGCGCAGATGTTGGCCTCAAGATCCAAAAATCTCAAGACCCGCCCTTTCTTTTGGGGACCACATGATCCTAAAAATTGGACCATAAACCCTTTTGGGGGTTCATGCAATTCCCCAAGGTCATGTCCTTCAGATCAAGTTCTGGCTGCCCGTAGTTGCTTCGTGTGTGAAAGCTCACAACGTGAGAAGGTACACAAAGCAACCCTAAACCCTAAACCCTAAACCCTAACCCCCTAACCCCTAAACCCTAACCCTAAACCCTAAACCCTACACCCTACACCCTACTCTCCATCAGGGCCGCTCATCCAGGATCAGCATGGGGGGATCGCGCAGCAGCGCTCGGGCAATGGCCAGGCGCTGGCGCTGGCCTATACAGAACTCTAAGACCTATGAACCCTATAAACCCTGCAAACCCAACACCCTACAAACCCTGCAAACCCTACAAACCCTATCAACCCTATAAACCATAAAAAAAAAAAAAAAAAAACCTAAAAACCCTACAAATCCTATAAACCCTATAAACCCTATAAACCCTATAAACCCGAAACCTCGAGGACGAAGAGTGATGTGAGTGTTTCAGCTCTAGAGATGCCTGTTACATTGCCAACAAGCTGGCGTGTCAGGCGCGTCTTACACCGCTGATGACGCAATATCAGAAAACATTGCTCCTGTAGGATGCAAGATGCGTGCCTTTCAGCACCAACACTTGAATCAAGACAGATCAAGCAGCTTCCTCTGCAGAAGCCGCAAAAACTGGAGGCCTCCTGACAGCAGCTTCCCGTCCGCGATTTCTGTGTCGTAGCCATTCGGCAAGCCTTAGCTTGCGACGCGTCGGGGATTCGACATGCGACTACCTGAACCAAAGCACGACGCCAGCTCTTTCCATTGTTTGAATGCCAAAAGATACCAGATACCAACAGCAAGATTGGCCGAAAGCATCGCCAAAACCTACATTCAGCTTCCACATCGCACGCAAAAAAGTGTGAGCCTTTCATTGGACACATTTGGACACTGCGCGTCACACTTTGCGCACCCCCCATGCACTCGACAACCTGTTAAGAGCCAGCACTGCGCTTTCGGCGGCCCGCACCGCCGCGGCTGCACTCTCTTTCGGGCTTCGTGTTGTCTTGTGGCGCTTTCTGCGTTGCCGAGCAGCCGCATATGAAGTCGTGGCAGTGCGCGCTCCGGGCAGCCTGACAGTTCAAAGTGGCACGCTGTTGTAGAGACTCGCCAGGCCGTTCTTCAGAATTCCTTCCCTAAACCTTCAACCCGAAACCCCAACCCCCACAACCATCGGCTGTTGACAGTGAGAACTGGCAGGCCTCTTCCAGATCCTCACGTCTGGCCGCGCCCAGTCCCCAAGCAAGGTTCTCGGCCACAGAGCCCCGGAAGAAGCGGGGCTCCTGCGTAGACCAACCCCATGACCCCCTAAACCCTAAACCCTAAACCCCAAAACCTTAAACCCTATACACCCTAAACCCTACACCCTAAACCCCAAACCCTTAACCCTAAACCCTTAGCCCTAAACCCTAAACCCCTACAACCAGCCCCCAATAGACCACGGTAGGCCCTGAAGCCCAAAAAAAGCACAGCCCGCGAGGCTGGTAACTCCTGCTTGTGAAGACCACTCCCCCAAATCTGAGCCCTTGCCCCCGAAACTCGGACTCTTGCCCCCGCGAAATTAGGTCCCTTGCCCGCGAAACCTCGGAGGGCCCTTGCACGCGAAATTTTGGACAGGGTTTAGGGTTTAGGGTTCAGGGTTTTAGGTTTACCGTTTAGGGTTTAGGGTTTAGGGTTTAGGGTTTAGGGTTTGGGGTTTGGGGTTTGGGGTTTAGGGTTTAGGGTTTAGGGTTTAGGGTGTAGGGTTTAGGGTTTAGGGTACCACCTTTGCCCACGAAGGGCTTAGAAGGCTTGAAGCCGATGCTCGGTCCTGGCCGACGATGCCGAGCTGACCCCTCAGCCACTGGGCGTCCAGGTCCTCTCACTACAAGTATTTTAGGGTTTAGGGTTTAGGGTTTAGGGTGTTGAGGGTTTAGGGTCTAGGGTTGAGGGTGTTTAGGGTTTAGGTGTAGTTTAGGGTCTAGGGTTTGGGGTCGAGGGTTTAAGGCGCTTTCGGGTTTAGCTCAACAAACTCTTTCTCTTGGCTCTCAAACCCATCCTCCAGGGGCACGCCGTCCACCAGGACCTGCATACAATCACTTGGTGAGTTCCCTAAAACATGTGGTCCGTTTTGGGGTCCTTATGATAAGGCGGCCCCTTATATTTTGGGGTACCCCAAAAAAGGGACCATAATTCTGAAAGCTGGCCGCTTCAATCTCTGGCTGCCACTGTACACGGACCACAAGCGCCTGGCCGCTCTGAACGTGGTAGAAGCCCTGGACGAGGTTGATGAGCGAGCTCCTGAGATCACAATCCAACACAATCCAACCCCTCCAAGAATCAAAGAACTTTAAAGGGGAGCTCGTCAGAAAGAAAGCACGCTTGTGGGAGTTACGCTCGGCTACAGTGTATACATCCAAGCGTGACACTACAAGTTGCAGAAATTTCTCCGCCATCCCTCGGTAGACCGTCGGTTTCAGAGGCACCCCGATCGACGCATCAACCCGAAGCCTAGCGATGCCCCTGAGCTGACCGCAATCTGATGCCAGGGAGGGCTCAGGGGGAGGATAGAAGGTGATCTGTTTCAGGGCGTCAGGTCTTGATCGATTCTGATTCAGGATGGTACTTGTGGAGCACATTGTTGCGGCCGGATGTTTTCGCTCCGAGGGCCATGTGATGGCCAGTTGGCCACATTCTCAGACGCTACCTACCTAAACTCTGCCTCCAGACGACAAGGCATGCCATTTAACTGTCCCAGTTCCACTCTAAACCCTAAACCCTAAACCCGAAAACCTAAACCCTAAACCCTAAACCCTAAACCCGGTTGTGATGCTGATGGCATTCTTGGCACTGTGCAGCTTAGAACATTCCAACACGACCCCAGATGCGCTGCCGCAGCACTGCCATGGGGAAAACACGGGATTTAGGGTTTTAGGGTTTAGGGTTTAGGGTTTGGGGTTTTGGGGTTTGGGGTTTGGGGTTTGGGGTTTGGGGTTTGGGGTTTGGGGTTTGGGGTTTGGGGTTTGGGGTTTGGGGTTTGGGGTTTGGGGTTTAGGGCAACCACTTCAGCAGTTGGGAGCAAGCTGCTTCCCAGAACCGCTGGTCCCGACCAAGGCAGTCGTCTCTCCTGTCAGGCACTACAAGCCACTTCAGGCTTAGGGTTTAGGGTTTGGGGTTTAGGGTTTGGGGTTTAGGGTTTGGCGGCTGGGGTTTGGGGTTTGGGGTTTAGGGCTTAGGGCTTAGGGCTTAGAGTTTCGGAGATCCAAGAAGACTCCCAGATGGCCCCTTCCGCAAGGTTGAAGGCGCAAGCATGTGCTACCATTCACTGAGGGTTTGACGGTTTTTCGGGGGTAGGGTTTAAGGTTTAGGGCTTAGGAGGTTTTGGGTTTAAGGTTTAGGGTTTACGGCTTGGGGGGAGGTGGCTGGCCTGGAACCGAACCATCCGCCCTCCCCCGACCCGGGCCTGCGCGGCAGTGAATGGACACGTCCTGGCTCCAAACTGCGACGCACGCCGCGCTTTGGGGGCGGTTGGGGGGGGGGGGGTTAGGGTCTAGGGTTTGGGTTTAGGGCTTAGGGCTTAGGGCTCTGTGGCTTTTGTCCAACCTTGCCACCAAAAGCAGAGAGAGAGAGAGAGAGAGAGAAAGAAGCGTTTTTTTCTCCAAACGTCCCCTGCCTTCAAGACCTGCCTCGAAGGCCGCCCGGGGTAAGCAAAGGTCACCTGCTCGAAGCGCACTTCCTGAGCGAAGGGAGTCGTGTCCCCTAACCCTAAACCCTAAACCCTAAACCCTAAACCCTAAACCCCTAAACCCCTAAACCCCTAAACCCCTAAACCCCTAAACCCTAAACCCTAACTTCGGCGCCCGAAGTTGCATCCGAGGTGCTCCGGACACAGACCTGGGAGGAAAAGGTTCGTCTGACAGTCCCAGTCCCTTTGTTTGTTGTGCGGCCTCCCAAAGTCGCCATTTCCTCCAGAGCCAAGAGCCAGCCGGAACCGCGACTCCCCGCTGCCCCGCGTCCCGACATCTCCCGAACTGCCCCCCCCCCCCCCCCCCCCCCCCCCCCCCCCCCTTCCGCAAGTCGAATCCCCGGAAGTCTTCGGTGTCTCTGCTGCGCGTTTCAGATCATGATCATACGAGACACTTCGGAACCAGGGGTAGCATGGCCAACCCTAAACCCTAAACCCTAAACCCTGAACCCTGAACCCTGAACCCTAAACCCTAAACCCTAAACCCTAAACCCTAAACCCTAAACCCTAAACCCTAAACCCTAAACCCTAAACCCATCCTTCGTTTGTCGCCAAGCCACTCCAGCTTCCGCCCCTGGGCCTTCCGCGGCCGGTGGGCGCCGAGCGCGCGGAGGACAGCCTGGCAAAACCAACCCGAACAGCAAAATAGGTCGAGGCGAAAGCTCCCAAGCACCCATAAGCCCTAAACCCTAAACCCTAAACCCTAAACCCTTAAACCCCTAAGCCCCTACGCTCTAAACCCTGAACCTCAAGCAATAAACCTTAAACCCTAAACCCTAAACCCTAAACCTTAAACCCTAAACCCTAAACCCTAACCCCCACTGCAAGGCCCTCTCTCTCAGCCTTCTGATCCATAAAACCCCAAGCCCTAAACCCTAAACCCTAAACCCTAAACCCTAAACCTCTCTTACCTTATATATTTAAAGTGGCTAAGGGTCATTTCTTCGTGGCTAAGGGTCATTTCTTCGTGGCTAAGGGCAATTTCTTCGCTAAGGGCCATTTCTTCGTCGCTAAGGGCCATTTCTTGGTCACCAAGGGCCATTTCTTCGTGGCTAAGGCTAAGGGTCATTTCCTTCGTGGCTAAGGGTCATGTCCTTCGTGGCTAAGGGTCATTTCTTCGTGGCTACGGGTCACTTCTTCGTGGCTAAGGGTCATTTCTTCGTGGCTAAGGGTCATGTCTTCGTGGCTAAGGGTCATGTCTTCGTGGCTGAGGGTCGTTTCCTTCGTGCCTAAGGGTCATTTCTTCGTGGCTAAGGGTCATTTCTTCGTGGCTAAGGGTCATTTCTTCGTGGCTAAGGGTCATTTCTCGTGGCCTTGGGCTTTAGGATTTAGGGGCCACTGGCCTTTAGGGGCTATTGGGCTTTGGGCTTTAGGTGTTAAGGCCTACTGGGCCTTGGGCTTTAGGTTTTAGGGTCTGCTGGGCCTTGAGCTTTAGGTTTCAGGGCCTACTGGGCCTTTTTAGGGCCCACTCTTTAGGTTTTAGGGCCTACTGGCCTTGGGCTTTAGGTTTTAGGGGCCACTGGCCTTGCGCTTTAGGTTTTAGGGCCTACTGGGCCTTCTTTCGGTTTTCGGGCCTATTGGCCTGGGGCTTTAGGTTTTAGGGCCTACTGCTCCTTGGGCTTTTGGTTTTAGGGGCTACTGGGCCTTGGGCTTTAGGATTTAGGGGTCAGGGGGCTTTAGAAATAGGGCCTGCTAGGCCTTGGGCTTTAGGTTTTAGGGCCTACTGGGCCTTGGGCTTTTAGGATTTAGGGGCCTGCTGGGCCTTGGGCTTTAGGTTTTAGGGATTACTGGGCCTTGGGCTTTAGGTTTTAGGGCTACTGGGCCTTGGGCTTTAGGTTTTAGGGCTTACTGGGCCTTGGGCTTTAGTTTTAAGGCCTACTGGGCCTTGTGCTTTAGGTTTCAGGGCCTACTGGCTTTGGGCTGTAGGTTTTAGGGCCTACTGCGCCTTGGGCTTTAGGTTTTTAGGGCCACTGGCCTTGGTTCGATTTAGGGGCCACTGGGCCTTGGGCTTTAGGTTTTAGGGCCTACTGGGCCTTGGGCTTTAGGTTTTAGGGCCAACTGGGCCTTGGGCTTTAGGTTTTAGGGCTTGCTGGGCCTTGGGCTTTAGGTTTTAGGGTCGACTGGCCTTGGGCTTTAGGTTTTAGGCCTACTAGGCCTTGGGCTTTAGGATTTAGGGGCCGCTGGCCTTGGGCTTTAGGTTTCAGGGCCTACTGGGCCTTGGGCTTTAGGATTTAGGGCCTACTGGGCCTTGGACTTTAGGGTTTCGGAGTGTATTGCTTAGTGGCACGTTTGGGGCTTATCATTTTGATTAAAAGAAATTAGGAAACCAAAATATTTTCCTAATGTTATGGGGACTAGTGAATGCTTGGACATGAGATGCTGAACCCTAATCCCTAAACCCTAAACCCTAAACCCTAAACCCTAAACCCTAAACCCTAAACCCTAAACCCTAAACCCTAGCCCTAAACCCTAAACCCTTTAGCCACAAACCCTACAGGGTCGGAGGCAAAAGAGGCAAAGAGGCTCGGGCCCGCCTCCGAGGCTCCCAAAGCTTCCATGGCTGTTGACCAATCCTGGAGCTAGGGTTTAGGGTTTAGGGTTTAGGGTTTAGGGTTTAGGGTTTAGGGTTTAGGGTTTAGGGTTTCAGGTTTCAGGTATAGGGTTTAGGGTTTAGGGTTTAGGGTTTAGGGTTTAGGGTTTAGGGTTTAGGGTTTAGGGTTTAGGGTTTAGGGTTTAGGGTTTAGGGTTTCAGGTTTCAGGTATAGGGTTTAGGGTTTAGGGTTTAGGGTTTAGGGTTTAGGGTTTAGGGTTTAGGGTTTAGGGTTTAGGGTTTCGGGTTTAGGGTTTGGGGTCTAGGGTTTAGGGTTTAGGGTTAAGGGTTTAGGGTTTAGGGTTTCAGGTGTAGGGTGGTGGGTGTAGGTTGAGGGTGTAGGTTTAGGGTTTAGGGTTTCGGGTTTAAGGCTTAGGGCGTAGGGTTTGGAGCGACACCGCCTCTGTAGCACCCTCCGCCCGCCCGTCCTCGCCAAGATCAAGGGCACCTGGAAGGGTTTAGGGGTTGGGGTTTAGGGGTTTAAGGTTTAGGGTTTAGGGTTTCGGGTTTCGGGTTTCGGGTTTCGGGTTTAGGGTTTAGGGTTTAGGGTTTAGGGTTTAGCGTTTAGGGTTTAGGGTTTAGGGTTTAGGGTTTAGGGTTTAGGGTTTAGGGCTACTAAGGCGAAGCTGCACAGCTTGGCAGGAAAATCTGTTCGCACGGGCTCCAGGAGTGTGGGGGGGGGGGGGGGGGCGTCATGTGGGCAGTTATCTGAGCTGTCCCCTGTCCCCTGCTGAGGACTCCATGTATACGGCTCCCCGTTCTCATAGGAACCCCCAAACGGGACCATGTTATAGCTGTTCTGGAGCAACCGCCGGATAATCCCTGAACCCTAAGCCCTAAACCCTACACCCTAAACCCTAAACCCTACACCCTAAACCCTAAACCTCAAGGTGCAGTGGGTTCTGTTTGGGGCGCCTCGGACGACCATGTCCAAGTAGAGTAGAAACTGCCTTGGGGGACACCGGAGCTCACTCCTTCACTCCCTTCGGCTTAGGGGCTTAGGGTTTAGGGCTTTCGGTTTAGGGTTTAGGGTTTGGGGTTTCGGGTTTAGGGTTTAGGGTAAGGTTTAGGGTCTAGGGTCTAGGGTCTAGGGTCTAGGGTCTAGGGTTTAGGGTTTAGGGTTTAGGGTTTAGGGTTTAGGGTTTAGGGTTTAGGGTTTAGGGTACGGGGGGACAACCAAGGAAGGAAATCAACTCCCCTAATCGCCCTGAACTTATATTTCCCAGATCGAACCAAGAAACAAACCAAGAACACGGATAAGAGCAACCCAGGGGGGAAGGAAAGGGGGAAGGAATCCACACCCTTACCAAACCCTAAGAACCCAGGCACTACTTTTTGAACTTGTGGCTTTCTGTTCAAGCCCATCTTGAGCCAAATACGATTACCGGGTTCATTAACCCTTCCAACTTCCAACACTAACTCCTTTCTACAATACCAATTGCAGCTCCGCACTCCCCCTGTCCTAGGATTTCCTAGGACACATTGGAGATGCAGATCTTTTGGCCAAAAACTGCCATTACGGCAGCAGCCAGCTGCTTGAAATGCAAATTGTGGTTTAACGTCTTCCAGGACGGAATTATAGCACATTGGCTAACCTACTACCCATAGAGAATCTTTTTTCACCTTGATCCTCTCATCACTGAAGACTCCTTGGCCTTCTTCACCACAAACCGTGGTCTTCGCTACGCGAAAAGCTACTGACTCCTACTATCAGGGATTTCCATACCCTTAATAGTAACCACCACCTTTGTCAGCACATTGGCTGTTCCAGCGCACCGGTCTCCAGAAAGAGAAAAACCATCCCTTCATCCATACCATCCAATCACTTCTTTTTCCGATTGTTGGCAATCTTGAGGTGAAGTTGCAGCAGAATATACTCCAGGTCCGAAATCGTAAGAATAGGATCCTGTATGCCCCTTTGAATTGAGGATACCAATCCTTCTCTCTTCGCATCCTCAATCGCCTGGCAAGATTGATCCAGCTCTTCATTCGCATTGGCAGACCCTGGTGCCTCCGCATCGGATGGACGATCCTTTTCCTCAGGATCTTGCACCATTACCACCTCTTCTTTTTTGGGACTCTGACTTTTCTCCTTCTTCTTTGTCTTTCCACCGACATTTGACTTTGTGCGCGCTTTTGAGGCTTTTTCCACTGCAGAAACCACCACATTGGATGATGATCCACCCTTCTCAATGACCGCCGGCATCTTCTTCGGCTTTGGAACCATGAGGGTACAAGGATCTTCGATAGCTGCAGCTTTCCTCTTCTTTTTTACCTTTTTCTTCTCCTCCTCAACAGCAACCTCCGTCTCCGAAGTCTCAACCACTTCTTTTTCGGCAGGAATATCTTTGCTGGACTCCCCTTCTAGGAACCTCTTTTTCCCTTTTTTGGGATCCTTTTCTTCTCCCAAATTGGCTCGCTCATACCATATCCTCAGGTCATTGACCCATTCTTCCACCTCCGCGAGCGAAACATCGTACGACTTCACTACTTCGAGAAGTTCCAGCACTGACAACATTTCAGTGGTCCACGAAACCCATACTTGATCCATGTAGTCAGCATCTCCAGTGATCTTCAGGAGTTTGAACAATGGGTCCGCCTCTGCTCGAGCCAAATCTGACTTGCCATTGGACAGAAATGAAATCGCCTCCATCAACAGTTCCGTCATCTTGGTCTCTTCGTCATAAACCATAAAATCCTCCTCATCATCACCGAACTGTTCAGGAGAGATCTCCTTCTTTCCACCATTTGCACCAGACTTTCTCCTTGGACCATCCCTTGGGGGCGTCCTTGGAGACCTTGGCCTCTGTTTTTCCAACGGAACCTCATGTCCAAAGACACACCTGTCACCAAACCGACACTTCCCAGACCGAGCAAACTGGACGCACCTCACACCAGTTGCATCATGCGAGAACTCACAATCCTTTCCAGCGAAACATTCTCTCCCTGCCACATAGTACTTGCACCAATATGAATGTAGCACCACATCATCTTCGGAATGGATGAATTTGCAGTCGTCACCAAATTTGCAGCGATCTTTCCCTTTGCCAAACCAATAGCAGAAACCCTTCTTCCTCTTCTCCAAGCGCTCTGCCTCATACCGGTCCATAGGGCGACTGTGCTCTACATGAACATTGCCATGTACCTGGGGACTGCTCCCTTCACCCGACGTGCTATCAGTATTTGGTGCTTGGAGTACAGCTGGAAAACCTGGCCTTGGTCCTACCACCTTCATGATCGGTTTTCCGCCAACTCCTGAGCCATGCTGAGACGATCCAAAAACATTGAACATCTTCATGAAGGCCTTCCTAGCGCCAATCTTCTGCACCCTTTTGATTGGACGTTTCATTGCTCCAACCTTGCATCCAGATGCATTCAAACGACGCAACCTTCTAAACCCAACTCTATGTCCCTTCTTCCAAAGAGCCATAAGAATTTTAGAGGCAGTAACATTCTCCACCTCTACCTTTTCCAATGATCCCTCACTTCCCGGAACAAACCCATCCATATCTGAAGACCTTTCCATCTTTTTTGACACCACTTCGTCGAGGTAGTCTTCTGAAATCCAGGGAAAGTTCCCCTTAGAGGAAGGATTGTCATCATTGTTTGGTCCTTCACCAGGATATCCTTTGGTGCTGTCAAAGATCTTACCAGTAGTGCGGTCCTGCATAGAGAAATTCGAAGCCACGCGGGAGTACACTGACCACAAGAAAATCCTTGTGTCCGCCAGTCTGGATGACCCACTGGATTTCTCCTCTTCCGGAGAAACTTCTGGCGCTTTGCCCTTCCCTCCAGTGTCACCGCTTGTCTCACCTCCAGCATCTTCAATGGGAATAAGGGATTCATTGTTCCCTTGATCAAGCACCGCATCCTCTAGTCCAAGAACTTCCAGCATCGCTGTCGAAGGATCCACCTCCTCATCCGCATCGTCGTCCATCCTTCTCCAGAGAGCCTCCAATTGGTCCGCACAAGTCGCCGCTTGAAGAAACTCCATCAACCGAGCCCTCCCGCGCTGCCAGAGAAATTCTGAAACCATCACCGACCCTTGTGCTCCCAGATTCAGGAATGGGTGAACCATTTTGGCTACCCTCGCCATAAGTTCAATATGAACTTCCATGCCTGGACTGCGGCTCCAATCATAGGCAATTGCCTCCATAGCAGTACCAAACTTGTCCGTATTCTTGAATTCCCCTTCCAGACCAGGAGACAACAAGGCACCCATCACCGAAAGAGGGTAATTCCCCACCGCCGGCAAGCACGGGTTGTCATGGAACGAATGATGCAGGTCAGTATAATATCCTTGATCTCTCCTTTGAAAAAGGAGTGTTCCAGTCCCTAGCTGGGCATTCATTTCATCCACTTGAACCATTTCAGCACATATCCTCTGTGCCAGGTGCGCCATTGCTGGCCAGACGGTACGATCGGTCAGACCGCGACGCATAACCCAATCAGTTGTTGGCGACTGGATCAGCGTTCCTGGATCATACACCATAACCATTGCACCGTCTCCCATTGACTGATCAGCATCGTCCTCCAGTGCCAGGTTCTCATCCTGTTCGCTTGCACCCTCGGATGACATGCTAATAACCAAATTTCGATCCATCTTATTGGACCCTTTTTGGCAATCTCTTTGCCCCATTGGCAACTTGCCAACTGCAACCTTCCAATAAATTCGAGTCAGAAGGCCTTTCACCAGCAATTGCTGAAGGTCACTCCTCACCGGACCACCATCCAACATCTTCGCATCATTACCACGGAGATCATTGCTCCCGCCTTCTCCTTCTTTTTGGTCGGTCTCCTCGCCAGAAATCTGTACTGCTCCTTCCGGCGCCGTCTCCTGTCCAGCCACTTCATGCCCAGGTAAAACCTCATCCGTGGAGCCCACCGCCAGCGAACCAACCATAACTGAACCATCCCTTGTTCTTTTTTGAGACCGTTCAGCTCGACGAGAAGGTTGTGGTAGCGAAAAACTTGTGAAGTCACTTCTTGGCGGGTCTCCCCCCGCGACGCTTTGTCGCGCCCTTCGCCAAGGTGAACCGATTTTTTCGGCCCATCATTGGAGCCTGAAGAACCACTTTGTGGAACATTGCCACGACTCGCAGTTCTCCACGAATCCCTTTCTTGCAAAAAGAGTTCCTTCAGGCGTTGTACCGCATTGGTCTCCTCCTCGCTTGAATCGCTTGAGGAAGCGGCATACGAGACCAAAGCCTCCGCCTGGTCATCATCATCCACCACATCTGCCCACGCTCTGCTGAATGGATACGACAAACCACCACGAGGTTTCACCGGCTCCAGTGGCTTCGGTTTTTCCACCACTTCCGCCAGTTGCACTCGTCGTTGTGACCGAGATCGTGGCACCTGTCGCACCTGTTTTTTGTCCAGCAAGGGCCTTCCCCTTCTTACAGGGTTTGATCTTGACCGATACTTTTTCGTTGGTGGATTCACCGGCGGCATTCCAACTCCCACCAACCGCAGCTTCTGTACGCACAACGGAGACCTCTGCGCAAGCGTCCAACCATCACGGTACCTGACCTTATCAAAAAGCTCCCGATAGGAACCTCTCGGCATAGTTTTTGCACCGGAGTCTTCAGCTTCACGCACCTGAGTGAGGGTTCGCACCGCCGCTCTTCCAGTCCCTTTGTTCCCAGAAGATTGTTGTACCCGTACAGATGCATCAGAAGGAACTGCCTTTTCCGGTCCTCCCGGTCGATATCGGACCTCACCCACCAATTGCAGAATTTTGCATGCGGTCACTTTGTTGATCCCTTTGTCAACCAAATCTTCCACAAAGATGAACTCTTGCAAGTCCGACACATTGGTCACACCAAGCGTAATCATCACCTCACTTACATGAGGGGTATACACCCACAGGTGTGCGTTGCGAGCCATCCAATTTTCAATCGGCTCCTCCGGATTGTGAAGCTGAGTACTAGTGGATGCAGCCACCGAATTCTTTTGCTCATCAGCTTCTACTTCATCCAGAATACCTTTTTCACCATCTTTTTGTGACACATTGGTCATTTGCAGTGCTTTTGGTGCCGAGGATGAGGAAGATTCAGCTCCCCCACTTGCAGGTGGCTGAAAAGTGCTTCTGTCCGAGATCTCCCATCCTCTCTCCTTTTCAAACCGGACCTGATTGGCCACGTGTACCAGGTGTTTCAGGAGTGTCAGCCGCTCCTCTGACATCTCGTCGTGGGAGTACTTGCAGAAATTTGACCCTTTCCGGCAACGTCCTCGGAGGTAATAATCGAAACAGCAATGGTGGAACCCTGCGTCCCTTAGCGCCTTCCTGGAAGCATTGTCCCAAGATTTGCCGGGCTCCCAAGTCCCTTCCAATGCTACATCATCGTTGTGAAGGTACCTGCATGCAGTCCCATATTTACAAGCACCTTGATTGTAATACAAGCACAGCCGACCTTTTGGCTCACCTGACGTAGGCTCACCCTTTGATGCACCTTTGCCAAAATTGTACTTGGCCCGGAAGGCTAAATCCTCCCGCTCCTGCTGTGCCTCATCCACTGTACCTTCCTCTGTGGGAGGGTCACCGATGTTCCCGTCCTCATCATCAGCTTCTTGGCTATTCTTTGGATCAGTTGACCCCCCTTCTGGCCAACCTTCACCGTACCGACGATGCTCATAGGGACACCCATCGCCATTGCGACACCTTCCCTTATTGAAGAACCTGCACAGCTTGCTGTAACCAGGTGACAACACCGTCTTTGGTGTCATGTAAGCCTTTTTGTACTGGTCAGGATCCATGTAGGCTTCCATTGGCTTGTTCTCCCTTTTGCTCATGGATTGCACTGCACCATCAAGCTCCTGCAAAAATAGCTTGGTGTCCAACCAAAGCGCGTTCCAAAACTCCTCTTCCCCTTGATCCAGCACCGCATCACCCACAACTGGTCGAGAAAATCTCCTTTTCCTACGTGCCAGTTCGAAGAGCGCGTTGTGGTACTGTGTTCGGGAAAAGGTGGTTAACTCCCCCAAACCTGTGTTTTCTGTACCATCAGGCTCCCAACCATCATCTTGCAAGATGCCATACGCGCGCCGAGCTTCCGCATTGAGGAATGCCTGATCCGCAACACACTCCTGTAAATCTTCCATCGGCCGACCTAACAGCATCCCAGTAATTTTGCCAACATAGGCTTCCTCTTCATTTCCATTCTCCAGAAGAGCTTTGTAGATCTTTTCTCCATAAAGTTGCCTTTCTTTTCGTTCTTCAGAAGACAACTCCTGTACCACAAGCTCTTCATCGGATTGCTCTTCCTCCTGTTTCCAGTCCCATTGACCGTTGGAATCTTGGTACCATTGACCAGCATACCATGAATCCGTCCACCACGTACTCCAGCCGCTGGGTTTCCACTTCCGCAGCGTCGAAGAAGAGTCCTCCACGTCCTCTTCCAAAACCAGAAAGGTGTCCAAGATTATGGTACCATCATCTTCCACTCGTTTCACTGTTCCATTGACAGTATCACCAAACTTGAACTGATATGCATTGTTCCCTTCTGCAGGAATCAATACATTCATATCCCCATGGTCCAAAAAGGCTCCATACCCATTGATGCAGCGCACTAGACCCATGATCTCATCTCCCTCTTGATAGCAATGTGGCCCAGGTGACTCCAAGGCTCCCGCTCGGGGCACTTTCTTTACACGCTCTTCAGAAACCATCTCTGTATCATCGGCTCCTGGCGCATCCTTTGTCTTCACCTTTGGGTCACACTGCTCGTCCTGCTCCACGAGTCCCACAAGCTCATCTTTTTTGTGCTCCTGGATTTCAGGACCTCCCTTTTTCTCCGCCAACGGCTTTGCCTCATCTGCTGTAGTTCGCTCGGTGTCGACTTCCGGTGAACTTCCAGACGGCAACGCTTCTCCCTTCATGGGAGTGGACCCATCATTGGAGTCCTTTGTCTCACCTTCTGCAGCAGGCAAATCTTCTTCCACTGCAGGGCAATTGAGTCGATCATCCACGGCAGGCACGCTTTCTTCCACCGCAGGCTCCTTTGGTTCCATGGCCTCCAAAGGAGAATTTCCACCATCATTGACCACAGCTGCCTCATTGGCTCCGGTGTAGCCCTTGTCATTTCGTTCCTCGCTGCTAACTTCAGGTTGCACCAGTGCGTCCACCTGTGAACCTCCATCATCAGCTGCTGCGGAGACCTGCGCCCCATTGTTGCAGTCGCCCGTGGAACGTACCACCACATGCACCTCAACCCGTGCTTCCTTCGCACTCCAGGTAATATCTGGCGCATCAACCCGCGCATCATTGGCGCTCCAGGCCTCATTTTTCAGATCATCCGTGTCTCCAGCTATTCCAGAAGCTTCTTTTTCCCCTTGAATGGCAGAATTCTTGGCACCAAACGAAGAGACCTCCTCAGTCGTAACACACAACTTTTTCTCTCCATCCTCCGAATCTCCAGGACCACCTTCCTGAACAACAGGTACCACATCCACCACTCGCTCTTCTGCAGCCGACACAGTTCCGATCACCTCATTGGGCATTTTCTCTTCTGGATCCACCAATTCCATCGCTGCCCCACCCTCAGAAAGCGCTTCTGTTTCTTCCCGATCCAGGTGTTGAGCTCCAGCGATGTTGGCTTGGTTCCCAGGAATCCCTTCCTCATCAGGAGAACCCGAGGTCGGGGCGTCACCATCAGCCCTAGGACCGCTATCCCTGATAGTAGAGGAAAAATCTTTTTCACCTAAACTATTTACACTACCCTGGAATGCCCTCGTAGACTCAGTCTTCGGAGTAGAGGATGAAGAATCCAGTGCCGCCTCCATTTCCAGCTCATTGCCCAAAGGAGACCCAACCACCTCGTCACTCTTCACCTTTTCACCTACCACCGGCAATGTCCACTTGGTTTCGTGCGTATCCAGGCAGTAATAATATTGTCTCCCATCTTCATGGAGGTGCAATTCCCACATTGTGCCATCACACGCTTGGATCAGATGCTCGTCTTTCCGAAAACCGTCCCTTTCAGAAACCTGTCGCATCTCGTCCTCTTCTTCTGACAGCTGTCGCAACCGTTCAGCCTCCATCTGTAGGATCTCCTCCTCCCCCATGGCGTATTCAGCAGCAGGTGCAGCTTCAAAGCCGTCCGCACCCTTCTGTTTGTGACCGCTTCCACCACCTTGGGAACTCGAAGATGGACCCTTTTTGATCTTGTTCAACGGCCTCCTGGTCGCTTGTAGCACTTCTCCAATCAGATCGGTCTGAGACTCTTGGTCTACCATTCGACCCGAAGTCGAAGACGACGGCTGGTACCCGTGTTTGTGTAACACTCGTAAAACAGTCACCTCCATTTCACGATCTATGCCACCAGTCGCATCCCAGTTCCTTTTTTCACCAGGCTTTGGCGGTACAGAAACAGCACGTCCTTCAGCTTCAGCATTGCTAACCATATCCCTATTGGGATTCATACCCGCATTGGGGCTTTCTGCAACCAAGGCCTCTTCCAGATGTACTTCAGCGTCGGGAATCACCTCTTCCAACACCGATCTTTCACCCAGAGACTCAGCTGCACCATTTCCAGCTCCACCATCTTGTCCACCATCCGAGGCAAGTTGGAGCCATCGCTTCGGGGAAGGCATTGCTTCTTGATCCCAAAACCTTGAAAGAACACTTAACCGCAGGGAACCTAATTTGGGCTCATAACCTACGGGGGGACAACCAAGGAAGGAAATCAACTCCCCTAATCGCCCTGAACTTATATTTCCCAGATCGAACCAAGAAACAACCAAGAACACGGATAAGAGCAACCCAGGGGGAAAGGAAAGGGGGAAGGAATCCACACCCTTACCAAACCCTAAGAACCCAGGCACTTCTTTTTGAACTTGTGGCTTTCTGTTCAAGCCCATCTTGAGCCAAATACGATTACCGGGTTCATTAACCCTTCCAACTTCCAACACTAACTCCTTTCTACAATACCAATTGCAGCTCTGCATAGGGTTTAGGGTTTAGGGTTTAGGGTTTAGGGTTTAGGGTTTAGGGTTTAGGGTGCTCAGTCCATGCTCCATAGACAGCCAGGGCACGTCAGGATCTCCCCATTCAGCCTCCGCTCAGGAGCTGCTCTGCCACATTCTAGCCCTAAACCCTAAACCCTAAACCCCAAACTCCTAAACCCTAAACCCTAAACCCCAAACCCCAAACTCCTAAACCCTAAATAATCTCAGAGTGGCACCAAAGAATTATTGCGTGATCACCAAGCCACCGGTCGTGGGGGGAGAGCACCAGCGAGCCACCAACGATGAGGGTCACGGCCCTGGAAAGACCTTGAGTTTTCAACACGCGACAGCGTCTTTCATGATATTAGATACGTCATGAAATTCTTATAAGCTACATTTGCCAGCATATGCCACCATACGCCACCGCATGTCACGATGTGTCATCTGCGAAACTCGGCGGAAGGGATGGTCAAGGCCCTTTCCCTGGTCTTCCGAAGTCCCAGCCGAAGGGCCACTGAGCGACACGTTCGCCAAGCCAAACAGGCCGGAGGCGTAGCCTCAAGTTCACAAGTACCTAGGGTTTAGGGTTTAGGGTTTAGGGTTTAGGGTTTAGGGTTTAGGGTTTAGGGTTTAGGGTTTAGGGTTTAGGGTTTGGGGTTTAGGGTTTAGGGTTTAGGGTTTAGGGTTTAGGGTTTAGGGTTTAGGGACACAAGCCCCTTCATGGGCTTCATGGGCTGACCAGCTGGTGCGACGCTGATGAGTGCCGCGCTGTTCCGCTTCTGGATGGAAAGGATCTTGTCATTCTGCTCCGAGAACAGGCGGCGGTGCACATCCTTCCCCGCTTACCCAAAGCTCAACTACGAGTGTAACCAACAGTGAACAGCAGATGCTGCATCGAATTCCAGTGCCGGCGTTGCAAAAGAGTTCCTACCTTACAACCTGCAAAGCTGGGAAGTGGGAAGGCGATGCTCAAAAAGTGCACACGATCAGAGAGAGTTCCAATGGTAAGACGTAATCTTTTGCATTGAGAAGCTGGCATGCACCCCTCAAGCCGATCAAGTTCGTCGTATCAAGCTGAGAAGGTGGTGTCAGAATCAGCGCACGATCTCTGTCCCTGTCACGACTCCAACGGCTTCAGTTTCCGAAGTCTGTCTTAGTGGTTCCTCGTCGAGAAGTTGGGGAATGAGGAATTAGCTACCCTGCAGAATCCCTGAAACGGCTACCTCCAGGGCACATTGGGCATCCAAGTCCCTATGGGCAATTGCAAGGTACCTGATTTCCGAACTTTTCGTTCAAAGAACTAATTCAGCACGATATCAGGTACCCAATCTCAGAATTCCATGATCAGCACTGAGAAGCTTTCCCTCCACTCTCCTCAAAGGATGGCCCTAAACCTTAGACCCCGAACCCTAAACCTTAACACAAGACCCCAGAAGAATTTATGGACCCCGGGGAGGCTTCCCACCCCACACTCTCACCAAACCCATGTGACCCATTTGCCTAAATCGACGAAAAACTCGCCTAAATCGACGAAGAACCTGCCTAAATCGACGAAGAACTTGCCTAAATCGACGAAGGATTTGCCTAAATCGACGAAGAACTTGCCTAAATCGACGAAGGATTTGCCTAAATCGACGAAGGATTTGCCTAAATCGACGAATGCCAGAGGGTGGCAGGATCGGCCCCTTCGTCGATTTAGGCAAGTTCTTCGTCGATGTAGGCAAGTCCTTCGTCGATTTAGGCAAGTCCTTCGTCGATTGGGCAAGTCCTTCGCCGATTTAGGCAAACCTTGCTCATTTGGTCAAATCGACGAAGGACTTGCCTAAATCGACGAAGGACTTGCCTAAATCGACGACGGATTTGTCTAAATCGACGAAGGATCTGCCTAAAACGACGAATTTACAAAGGTTTAAATAAACCAAAAAAACAAATAAATATATATATATATATCAATATAACTATAACTATAACTATAAATATATATATATAAATATATAAACAGAAATATAAGTATAAATACAAATAAATAAACATAAATACAAATAGAAATAGAAATAGAAATAGAAATATAAATATACATATAGATAAATATATATATATATATACATATAAACATATATATATATATGTATATATATATATACGAAGAGAGGGTTTAGGGTTTAGGGTTTAGGGTTTAGGGTTTAGGGTTTAGGGTTTAGGGTTTAGGGTTTAGGGTTTAGGGTTTAGGGTTTAGGGTTTAGGGTTTAGGGTTTAGGGTTTAGGGTTTAGGGTTTAGGGTTTAGGGTTTAGGGTTTAGGGTTTAGGGTTTAGGGTTTAGGGTTTAGGGTTTAGGGTTTAGGGCGGTTCAGGAATCTATTTTTGTTTGATGTTCTTCACTTTTCTTGGTTTTCTATCGTTTTGTTTCTTTTGGGTGCCTTGGAGAGCTTCTGGGGACCTCCTTTGAGCTTCTGGGAGCCTCCCCGGGGTCCCAAAAACTCTTCTGGGGTCTAATGTAGGAATCTCATTTTGTTCTACATTTTTCGCGGTTTTTTCTGTTGTATTTCTTTTGCGTGCCTTGGAGCTTCGCGGAGTGTTCCCGGGGTCCCAAAAAAGATTCTGGGGTCTCATGTTAAAGGCTCAGGGATCTCAATGTTTTTGTTTTTTCGTCTTCTTGGTTGTCCGTATTGTTTTTCGTTTGGGAGCTTGGGAGAGATTGTGGAACAAATGGGTGTGAAGCGAGGGTTTAGGAAAAGCTGCGCACGATAAAAAGAAAGAAACTTGATGTTTTCGTCATGTTCTGGGGCCCTCTGGGGTGGTAGGGTTTTTGCTAATTGCTCGAACCCCTTCTGAACTAGAAATGTCCTGGCCACTCGTAAACCCCAAACCCTAAACCCTAAACCCTAAACCCTAAACCTTAAACCCTAAACCCTAAACCCTAAACCCTAAACCCTGCTCCTCCGCGCCAAGGGCTCGCACCGTCGCCAGGCCGTCTAGGCCCTCGTCTGCCACGCGGCTGAGCTCCGCGATGGCGTCCTCGCTCGGTTTAGGGTTTCGGGTTTAGGGTTTAGGGCTTAGGGTTTAGGGCTTAGGGCTTAGGGTTTAGGGTTTAGGGTTTAGGGATTAGGGTTTAGTGTTTAGGGCTTTTAGGGTTTAGGGTTCAGGGTTCAGGGTTCAGCATCTCAAGTCCAAGCATTCACTAGTCAAGAAATTATTCCAGAAAAAACACCCACCCGCCCAAAGAATCTCATATCATTAAGAAATATTTCACTTGTAGAACGACCTTGCCCAGGAAGAAAATGACCTTGCCCAGGAAAAAAATGACCTTGCCCAGTAAAAAAAAAAGAACGACCTTGCCCAGCAAAAAAAATAAAACTGACCTTGCCCAGTAAAAGAGATACTCGTTCGGTCCAAAAAACGACCTTGCCCAGTAAGAAATGACCTTGCCCAGCAAAAAAATAAACCTTGCCCAGTAAAAAATATGACCGTGCCCACCTTGCCCAGAAAAAAACAAAAACAAAAAAAACCTTGCCCAGTAAAAAAATGACCTTGCCCAGCAAAAAAATGACCTTGCCATTAGCGTTTAAAATAAGTGTGAAAGAGAGGTTTAGGGTGTAGGGTTTAGGGTTTAGGGTTTAGGTTTGGGGTTTAGGGGTACCTTATTATCGGCCCCCTATACCACCTTTTGAGCGATTACAAACCAGGGTACTTCTGATTCCCCAAAATTCCCCTACTAAGAACCACAGAGTCATCCAGCCCTTACAAGATTTGGGTGGTTTAATCCCTAACCCGAAACCCTCAACCCTAAACAAACTGCATTCCTCGTCGCCCAGGTCCCATACCCCTGCAAACAGCTGGACTCCTGTGCTTCGGCCGTCGTTCGTCTGCGGACCTCCATGCCGCAATGTGACTGCTAGACCCCCACATCAGTGAGACCTCTGGTTTAGGGTTTAGGGTTTAAGGTTTAGGGTTTAGGGTTTAGGGTTTAGGGTTTAGGGTTTAGGGTTTAGGGTTTAGGGTTTAGGGTTTAGGGTTTAGGGTTTAGGGTTTAGGGTTTAGGGTTTAGGGTTTAGGGTTTAGGGTTTAGGGTTTAGGGTTTAGGGCGCCTTCGTAGGGTTGATTAGGGGGATGACAAGGCCCAATGGCCCATCCTGGTACACTGCGGAGTCATGGCGTGCTGACTGGCAATCTCAGATGCTCTCATGGTCCTTCCGATGCGAGATCCCTGCGCGGTGGCCTCCGAGTACCTCAGTTGCAAGCAAGATGGGGGCTTCCGAAACTTTCGGGGTACCTTGCTGGGGTCCATTATATAAGGGAATCCTACAACTCGGGGTCTATATCGGGGGCTTCCTTGTTTGCGTAAACCCCATATGCAAAGAGCTATGCAAAGAGCCGATAGATACAACTCGGAAGGGCACGATCGCCCACCCCATGTTGCTTAGCCTGCCCATCAAAGGTGTTGCTGCTGCCTCGAAAACCCTGGAATCCATTTGTCTTAAGGACACGCGAACCGTATCATCTTCGAGGTGAACGAGAGCGAGCTGGTAAACAGGGTTGATGCGGCGTCTTCACACGAGTGGTGTTCAGGCGCCACTGTGATGACTCCTTACAAAACCATTCTCTACCCATCTCGCCTTTGGGCGAACTCGTCAGCTCTCATCTTCGACAGATCTCATCTCTTTGCCGAGCTAAACCCTGAACCCGAAACCCTAAACCCTAAGCCCGAAGCCCTAAGCCCTGAGCCCCAAACCCTAAACCCTAAACCCTACACCCTAAACCCTAAACCCTAAACCCTAATCCCTAAACCGCCAAGTTTCTTCGATGTGGAGGCGGCAAGGCCCAGCAAGACCAGGGCGGCCACCAGGGCCAGGCGTGGCGAGGAACGGATCAGCGCAGCAGAGCCTCCCCAGAGTTCTGAAAGGACTCTTAGGGTTTAGGGTTTAGGGTTTAGGGTTTGGGGTTTAGGGTTTAGGGTTTATGGTTTAGGGGTTAGGGTCTTAGGGCCTCTTAGGGCGTTTAGGTCAGATGTTTCCATGAAACAGCTTTGGGATTGCGGTCGCTGAAGGCTGCGGCTGTCTCCTGCCAAACATATACTGGAAGTATATATATATACACATATATAGACGCGAGCAACGAGTCGAGGCGAGGATGAGAGATTCGAGACGCGCAATTTCGTCACTCGCTTCTACATCTCCAAGGAGCCCAGGAAGGTCACGCTGCTGGACCGCAGAAGGAAATTCAGCACGTCATCAAGGCTGGCGAAGACCTGAGCAGACACAAGCGTGCTCCCAAAGACTCCCCCAACCCTAGACCCCAAACCCCAAACCCTAAACCCCAAACCCTAAACCCGAAACATCCTTGAAGCCTCTTTTTGATCCTCTTTAGGAATCTCTTGCAAACGAGATGGCCATCTGGCAGTCTGACGTCAGCCGAGATGTGAGCTCCGCGGCATCTACCTGCAAAACATGCCCTGAGCTGTACAAAACACCACAGCTGCTCGTGGTAATCTGCTACCACAAATTATAGATACACATGTATATATGTATATATACATACATACATACATACATACATACATACATACATACATACATACATACATACATACATACATACATACATACATACACACATACATACACACACCTTTTATGAACTTTTTTTGATTCGTATATTTTTAAAGATTTTTTGCAATGTCTGATTTACGGATGTTTTGCTTAACAAAGCATGTATGTCATGTGAGACGGATGGCTTGGGCGGGCCCGCCCTGCCTTGTCAAAGAATGCCATGTCTTGGGACCTTGGTTTAGGGTTTAGGGTTTAGGGTTAAGGGTTAAGGGTTGAGGGTTTAGGGTTCAGGGTTTAGGGATTAGGGTTTAGGGTTTAGGGCTTAGGGCTGAGGGTTGAGGGTTGTTTAGGGTTTAGGGTTTAGGGTTTAGGGTTTAGGGTTTAGGGTTTAGGGTTTAGGGTTTAGGGTTTAGGGTTTAGGGTTTAGGGTTCAGCAGCTCCGGATCGAGCAGATTTACGGCTCGGATATAACACCCACCCACCCAGAGAATCCCATAACATTAAGAAACTATAAAGTATCTTCATACAAAAGTTGGGGTGGGAACGTGCCTTGCCCACGAATTTTTGTGCATTGCCCACGAATTTTTGTGCCCTGCCCACGAATTTTTGTGCCTTGCCCACGAATTTTTGTGCCTTGCCCACCAATTTTTGTGCCTTGCCCACGAATTTCGGTGCCTTGCCCACGAATTTTGGTGCCTTGCCCACGAGTTTTTGGTGCCTTGCCACCAATTTGTGTGCCCGAAAATTCGTGGGCAAGGCACAAAATTTCGTGGGCAAAGGCACAAATATTCGTGGGCAAGGCACAAAATTCGTGGGCAAGGCACAAAAATTCGCAGGCAAGGCACATTTTGAGGCTTCAAGCCTTGCCCAAGGGCCAAAACTCCGAAACGTGCCTTGCACGTCTTGCCACGAACTTTTGTGGGGGGGGTAGGGGTGGGGCGGGGGGGGGCGGGGGGGGGTGGGGGGGGGGGGGGGGGTGGGGGGGGGTGGGGGGGGGGTGGGGGGGGGTGGGGGGGGGTGGGGGAGGAGGGTGGGTGCCTTGCCCACGAATTTTTGTGCCTTGCCCACCAATTTTTGTGCCTTGCCCACGAATTTTTGTGCCTTGCCCACGAATTTTAACCAATTTTTGTGCCTTGCCCACCAATTTTTGTGCCTTGCCCACGAATTTTTGTGCCTTGCCCACGAATTTTTGTGCCTTGCCCACGAATTTTGGTGCCTTGCCCACGAATTTTTGTGCCTTGCCACCAATTTACGTGCCCGAAAATTGGTGGGCAAGGCACAAAATTTCGTGGGCAAAGGCACAAATATTCGTGGGCAAGGCACAAAATTCGTGGACAAGGCACAAAAATTCGTGGGCAAGGCACATTTTGGGGTTTTAAGCCTTGCCCAAGGGCCCAAAAATCCGAAATGTGCCTTGTCCACGAATTTTTGTGCCTTGTCCACGAATTTTTGTGCCTTGCCCACGAATTTTTGTGCCTTGCCCACGAATATTTGTGCCTTCGTCCACGAAACCCATTAGGGTTTATATATATATAGAAAGAGAGGTTTAGGGTTTAGGGTTTAGGGTTTAGGGTTTAGGGTTTAGGGTTGAGGGTTGAGGGTTTAGGGTTTAGGGTTTCGGGCTTAGGGCTTAGGGCTTAGGGCTTAGGGCGTAGGGTTTAGGGCTTCGTGTTTAGGGTTTAGGGTTTAAGGTTTAGGGACGCAATGTCGCAGCGGAGTCTGGGCTGGATCTGGCAAGTGCAAGCAAAGTGAAAGCGAGCGAGGGCGGCGAAGTACTCTGCGGCCCACCGCCCCGTCCCTCGCGTGTCCTCTCGTCACGTCTTCGCGCAGGAGGGCGCCGACTTTGAGCCATAGAAGCCACTCGCAACAGAAGACATGGTCCATGTACCCCAGAAGTTCCAGCTAGGGCTTGGACTCCAAGAACAAAACGCGCAACGGAAGCAACGCCATGATACACACCAAACAACCGGCTTCGAGTCAAACACGACACAGCCGGAATTCCAAGTGAAAACAGCACGTCCCCTGTGCCAGCTTGCTATTCGCGTCGCTTAGAAGGCCTCGTGAGGCCTTGATGGCAATGAGTTTTGACCGCTCAGACACAGGGTAGCCACCCACGCGGTGAGCTGGCCACTTGGTACTCTCGCACTGTGGCCGGCACGTGTCAGAACTTCTCAACGGCATATCCCTACACGTTGCAGCTCCTCGCCATGAAAAAGTACTTCCGGCCGGGGCGCATGTAGTGGCTGAAACACCGATCGCGGAGGCGGCTCACAAAGCCTTAAAGGCTTCCGTGGATTCGGGGCGTCTCATCTCTCTCTCTCTCTCTCTCGGACATTCATGGCCACAAAGAAAAGGGGCCTCTGAGCGCGTCTGAGGCATCCGCGCACGCGAGCCATGTGGAAGGCAAAGGCTCGCAGGCCGTTGAGCAGCGCCAAGGCCAGGGCCTCGGGCTCCCGCAGGGAGGGAGGGGGGGGGGGGAGCGCGCTGCTGTGCGGTGGGGCATGTGAGATGTGGTGAACCTGAAGGCTTCGGATGTTTAGGTGCTTAGGGGTTTAATAGGGCTTAGGATGGCTGGGGGTTTAGGGTTTAGGGTTTCGGGTTTAGGGTTTAGGGTTTAGGGTTTAGGGTTTAGGGTTTAGGGTTTAGGGTTTAAGGGGCATTGGGTGACGTGGACGACATGGGTGGCGCTGTGAGTCCGGCCACGCCGATGAGGAGGTTCACCTGGGCGATCAGGGTTTCCTAGATGACCCAAGCTCCGGTTGCCGTCTCGCGCTCTTCTGCATATGTGTGTACGTGTCTGCATGCATGCATGCATGTATGTATGTATGCATGTACGCATATGTATTACATGACGTTATGGGTGTATTATATATATATATATATATGCATGCATGCACAGAAGAAGGGACCGGACTCTGCCACACCAAGGAAAACTGTTGGCATCAGTAGCTGCCTCGGGAGTGAAGCTATCATGAAACAGGCCCAGAGGAACCTCTGAACCTTCTTGGGTTCGTTTGGGAACCCGACGCCTACATAGAGTTTCCGGCAGGTGGCAGGCGCATAAAGAACCTCGCGCTTCAGGATGCTGACGCGCGTTTTGCACGAGCGCTCTGCAATTTTTGAAACGCCAACGGGAAACTTACGACAGTCAGCGTTGCAGGCAATGTTGTGCACTAGGACTACACAGCCCCACATTAACGAATGACGGCCGCAGATTGGCATCGCCAAGCAAGCGAGTACAAGTACTTCATGAGATCTGGCTTGATCTCCTTGCCACTCTTGGCATGGAGAACATCAGGGATGACCATTAACTTAGGGGCCCGTAGCCTAGAGCACCAGCCAACCCCTCTTCCCACCAAACCGCTACAAATTCCCAGCTTGCGGTCATTGTCAGGCAGATTCTGTAGAGCTCATGTCCTATACGACTGACCTAGATCAGATACAGACATGTTACGGTAGCTGCATCACTCCAGTCTTCGCTCAGTCGCTTTCCCGCACAAGATGGCAGCTTCCTGAGCGGAAATCGCGCATGCCTCAACGTGTGAACTCGCCTTCAGCTTCATGACAGCCCAGTAGCTTCAGGTGAATACCTCGAGCCTCTCTTGACCCTATCCTCGCAGAGATCCCACGCGCAAGACTCCTCCAAGCAGACAAGGTACACCAGCCGCCGCAGCAAACAAGGCCTGGATGCCCCAAGGATCTCGACATGGGCACAAGATGGCACAATGAGGATGCCGACCAAATGAACCCCAAAATTGGGGTCATCTACCCTTTACTACTTTCATTCCTATTAAGGCTATATGAACCATAAACCCTTGTGGGGTTCATTTCGTCCCCAAGGAAAGGTCTCTCAAAGGCACGATTCCTATTAAGGTAATATGAACTCTAAGCCCTTTTAGGGTTCATCCAGCCCCCAGGGCACGATTCCCCTCTGCCTTGGCCACAAGGGGCGGTGCCGCCAGCTGCGTGAGCGCCGCGCCCAGCAGCGCACAAACGCCGAGGAGGAGCCTCGCGTTTAGGGATTAGGGTTTGGGGTTTAGGGTTTAGGGTCTAGGGTCTAGGGTCTAGGGTCTAGGGTCTAGGGTCTAGGGTCTAGGGTCTAGGGTCTAGGGTTGGGTCTAGGGTTTAGGGCTCAGGGTTTAGGGTTTAGGGTTCCCCCCTGCAAAAGCTCTCCGAAAGCGTCTCTGAGACACCGCAGCCATGCCCTTCCTGTAGACCCCCATAAGCCACATAGCAACCTACATGTGAACCCATGCAGAAAACCATATATAAACCCATGAAAGTGTAAAAAACCATATTATAGCAACCCATGTGAACCCTAAGAGTCATCTCTCCCCCCCGTGTCGGATCTCATCTCCCCCGCCATCGCCGGTCCCAGGGCGTCAGCAGCGCCAGCATCTGCCCAGCCGCACTGGGGGGGCCCTGGGGCCCCTCCTGGGGCCCTTTCTGGGGCCCCTCCTGGAGCTCCGAAGCCTCGGTGAAACCCACTAAGAAGGGATATCACCTCGTCAACATCCCCCCCAAGACAGGAAGGTCGTGGGAAGGCTTCTTCCGGGAAGGATCTCCTGTGATTTTTCGCTGGCGCTCCAAAGACTGGAAGGGCCCAGCTCCGAACAAAGCTCACGAAAAGATTTCTGGCAAGCAGCTCGCCTGCCAAGCCGTCGGCGAGCTTTGGCAAAGCTGGGAACCGTCTCCCGTGGACAGCGCGCAGGCTTACACTGGGCCGCATGCCTCAGACTCAAGATTCACGCAAGGCGACGCTTCTAGGCGCAGGCCCTGAACCTACAAATTTCTGCCATACTTCCATTAGAAGAGCACCTGTAACACCATTTTCACACCTTCCATCTTCCCTCAGCTCCCTCAGCTCCCTCCACCAAACCCTAAACCCTAAACCCCTGAACTCTCCATGCGCCACGTCGCCCCGGAGGGTGCAAGTGCGGAAGCACTGCCACAGGCGCGGACAGCCTCGGACCTTTCAAGGAAGATACTTTAAAATCGTTGAGAAATGTCTCTATGTTTTTGAATGTAAACATATATACATTGTGTTTTTTTACTTTTGCATTTGTGTTTTTAGTCTTACGTTTACTCCCTGATAAACCCGAATATGGAAAATATAAAATATTCCAAAAGCCACCGTAGAATAATGGTTCTGCTATACGATGGTTGCCGACAGAACCAACAACTCCAGTGGCTGTTGCAGACTCTTCACGAGAGCCTGCATACGTGCGCAGGGCCACAGCCTGAACCACCTCCTGCGCTAGCGCAGGCGAATGCTCCGCATTCAACCCTAAACCCTAAACCCTAAACCCCTAAACCCTAAACCCAAAACACCCCCTAAGCCCCAAATCCTTAAACCCCCAAACCCTAAACCCTAAACCCTAAAACCTAAGCACCCTAAGCCACGTGCACCGGCGCACCTTGCACGAAGAGCAGCGGCGGCAGCGCCTTTGGCCGCAGGAAGGCCACGAGGCGCCAGCAGCCGTAGCAAGCGGCTGCCAAGAGGGCAAGCCTCTCTCTCCGATTCGTTTAGGGTTTAGGGTTTAGGGTTTAGGGTTTAGGGTTTAGGGTTTAGGGTTTAGGGTTTAGGGTTTAGGGTTTAGGGTTTAGGGTTTAGGGTTTAGGGTTTAGGGTTTAGGGTGTAGGGTGTAGGGTGTTTAGGGTTTAGGTTTAGGGTAGGTGTAGGGTTTAGGGTTTTAGGGTTTAGGGTTAGGGTTTAGGTTTAGGGTTGAGGGTTGAGGGTGTAGGTTTAGGGTTAGGGTTCCGGGTTAGGGTTTAGGTTTGGGTTTGGGGTTAGGGTTTAGGGTTAGGTAGGGTTTAGGGTTAGGGTTTAGGGTTTAGGGTTTAGGGTTTAGGGTTTAGGGTTTAGGGTTAGGGTTTAGGGTTTAGGGTTTTGGGTTTAGGGGTTAGGGTTTAGGGTTAGGGTTTAGGGTTTAGGGTTTAGGGTTTAGGGTTTAGGGTTTAGGGTTTAGGGTTTAGGGTTTAGGGTTTAGGGTTTAGGGTTTAGGGTTTAGGGACTCAAGTTGGGGGGGTTTATGATGTTCGGGGTACCTTCTTGGTTATTCCCACCGACGCCACGTTCGCGCGCACCGTGCAGACATGTCGGTATTTGCAGTACTTTCTGCAGTTTTTTTAGGAAATGCACATACAAAATCACTCAGCGCCAGCAGTGTTTAGGGCAGACAGCACTGACGCCATGAACCTGCATCTTCCTGTACACATGCACAATCCCTTCGAGCCAGCAGTATTCAGGGCAAAGCCAGTTTCTGAGAAGTCCAGCCATGGAACCTTTCCTCCTTGCAGCTGTGCCTGAACTGGCAGACCCGGAGATTCGTGCACGTCAACTCCGGGCCATGCAGGCCTACTCCAACGACACCGTGGACCTCGTAGCCTGCTGCGGTGTTGTGGACCTCTCTGAGGACGATCCACCTGCTGCCTTGTCAAATCCAGGCACTTCTGAAGTCAAAGTTCTCCTGGGTTTCCTTGTCGAGGGTTGAGTTTTCCCTCTCAGGCTTCGGCTTCTTCCGGTGCGACAGCTTCCTCCGACCTCGGGCCTCCAACCTCTTCGCTGCAGTGTGGTCCCGCCATGTCCCCAAACCTTGTCGTGCTCAGGGATGCGCGCGCGAACGTACCGTCGGCGCGATTTATTAGGGCCCTGATTATCAGGGAACCTTAAAATTTGGGGGTCTATCTTAGGGGTCCCCTTATTTTCGTACAGCCCCAAATTGCGCGCACTTGTCGCATTATGTCTCGGCACGGCTCCGCCTGCCCAAAGCGGTGTGGGGCCGTAGGCGCTGCCTCAAAGTAACAGCGGCTCTGGCAAGCAACACGGAGCAAGTCGGTCCCTTCTCCGTGGTGCACATGTCTGAAGGCTGCAAGACTGAAGGTTGGAGTGTGAGAGGGGGGCACTTTACTGAGTGTCGCTCGCCAGGGTCTCTCAGCAGAACTTGCCAAACACCACACCATGAGAGCACAGAGAGAGAGCACAGAGAGAGAGCAGAGAGAGAGAGACCCCTAAACCCTAAACCCTAAACCCTAAACCCTAAAGAGAGGAAGAGAGAGCAGAGAGAGAGAGCAGAGAGAGAGAGAGAGAGCAGAGACTGATCAGAGCGCCAAGTGGCGTGAGCCGGGAGCCCCCAGAGCGCAGCTCCTTAGTTCATGCTATGAATATTCGTCATCCTACCACTCTGGCTCTTATTCCTGCTATTGTTAACTTTAGGAATACTAATCATACTATTATAAATATATACATATATGTCTCTCTCTCTTTCCTATATATATATATATGTGCGACTTTAGGCATCAAGGCATTTCACACACGGCACGGGGTCTCAATGCGGAGGCAAGCTTCCCGAGCGAAGGCGGCGGAGCCTGTAGAGATGAGAATGGCGGCACCTGGGCAGGTGCGCTTTTTGCAGGGTTCAGGGTTTAGGGTTTAGGGTTCAGGATTTAGGGTTTAGGGTTTAGGGTTTTGGGCTTAATTTAAGGGTTAGGGGTTAGGGTTTGGGGTTTGGGTTTAGGGCTTAGGGCTTAGGGCTTTTTGCGTGCTTTTTTGCTCACAGCCCTTCACTTTGAGCTCACACCACAATGGCTTCAATGCAGGTCAGTGGAGTGGTGGAGATGCCGAAAGACGAAGCAACTGCAACTGGAGTAGCCTCCGATGGTCCCATAGAGGGTTTAGGGTTCAGGGTTTGGGGTTTAGGGTTTCGTTCATCGAAGTCACAGATCGTGATGGTACGCTGCGTGTAGAATGGTGACATGTGGAACAAGTCCAGGAAGATCTCCTTAAGCTGCAGTTCTTGCTCCACACAGTTCAAGACCTACAGGAACACTCAGCACCAGGTGCGCCCAGGCGTCAATGACGATGAGGACGATCACAATCCACTCCTGTAGTCAAAGCACCGGACATCGCAACACCCAAGTCCACACAAGCCCAGCGCCAACTCTTCCAAAGCCAAAGCGCCAGCTTGTTCGAATGCTTCACCTCACAGGAATGCGGCATGCCCCAGCGGCAGAAGATCCCAACGAGTCGAAACTTGGGAGGTCACCATAACAAGGGACCCTTCTTGTCCCTAAACCCTAAACGCTAAACCCCAAAACACTAGGATCCCCTGCGAATATGAGGACTCCGCTACACACCAAATAGGCAACTCCGGAACTTCGTTCTTTGCCAAAATGAATAGGGGTGGTGGTGCCCTTTTTGGAGACCCCGAATAGAATACAATGCCCTTGTGAGGACCCCCGACATAGACCCTAAAGCCTTATGCCCCAAGCTTGGAAACCCCCCCTCCCCAACCCTAAACCCTAAACCCTAAACCCTAAACTCCCTAAGTGGCGGAACACCCCCACCTCGCCCCAATTCGATTGAAGCCCCCCCCAAATGCCTCTCAGGCTGCATCTCTCCCTCTGATCCCGCCCCAAGCCTCGAGCTGTGTCTGCAGGAAGCCTGCGGCGGTTCAGGGCTTAGGGCTTAGGGCTTAGGGCTTAGGGCTTAGGGCTTGGGGCTTAGGGCTTAGGGCTTAGGGTTTAGGGTTTAGGGTTTAGGGTTTAGGGTTTAGGGTTTAGGGTTTAGGGTTCAGGGTTTAGGGCAACAAAAGCAGCATCCCCAAACGCAGCGCACAGCTCACTGACACAGCTAAGCGGCTGTAGAGGTCGTTGAGGACCGCTAGACGCTGGTCCAGAATCTCAACCTAGGGGGAGGGGCATACTCTCACCAGAAAAGCGCCAGACGTTACCTCCCGGGATTATTAGACCTTGCAATCCCCATCATCAACCCGATAAATGGCCATTTTGTGGGGGGTAGAAGGAAAAAACATGCTGGGGGGGTAGGCAAGCAGCGCGCTTCCCGAGCTCCAAGTACTTGCGGCAGGAATCGTACTGCCTTGGAGCAAGAAGTTTTCTTGCTGGACTTAGCAACGGGAATCTCACAATAGCGACCCCATTTTATACCCTCAAGTACTACATACCCAGAGAGCCCAATACTCCTTACTTAAGGAATATACCTTAAATTATATAAAGGGATCCTTAATGGGATTTAAGGCATATTCCTTAATTAAGGGGTATTGGGCTCTTCGGGTAACTACGCATGCACGGGACGCAATTCAATCGGCAGTGTCAAGCTGCGCGTCGAACCGGTCATGCTCCCACAAGATCTCCTGAGCTTGGCGGGGGCAGCTGGACCTCGAAGTTTCGGGCTTAGGGTTTAGGGTCTAGGGTTTAGGGTTTGGGGTTTGGGGTTTGGGGTTTGGGGTTTGGGGTTTGGGGTTTGGGGTTTGGGGTTTAGGGCTAGGGTTTAGGGTTCAGGGTTCAGGGCCTGCAATCCAGACTAAAGAAATCCAAGTGTCGGGGGTGCCCAGCATGTCACTTTGAAGCGTCAGGGAGCACTTCGTCACAAAGATCGCACCCATCTGCCTTAGAAGAGCCATGGAAGTTGAAGGCAACAACCCTAAACCCTAAGCCCTAAAACCCCCCAGGCTCCAGACATCTTCAGAAACTTCTCGTCCAGGTCAAAGGTGCCGTACTGTGCCAAAGCTTCCGGTATCGGCTTCGCCTGCTCGCAACTTCCTTCTCCCCAAGGAAGACTCGATCAGGGTTTAGGGTTTAGGGTTTCGGGTTTAGGGTTTAGGATTTAGGGTTAGGAACCCTAAACCCTAAACCCTACACCCTACACCCTACAGCCTACACGGGTCCAGGGTTTAGGGTTAGGAACCCTAAACCTTAACCCTAAACCCCACACTCACCCCGAAACCCGACATCCTGAGCCAAAAGCCCGAGGAAAACATCTGCTTCCCCGATGTTCTTGTTGAATCCGCATCTTCGCCTTCTCAATGGCCGAGTCCACTGTCTTTTCGAAGACCGCCAGCTTCACACTCTGGGCAAAAGCATAGCCTCGGGAGCAGGGGGGGGGAATGGGGATGAGGAAGGGAGGCTTAGCATAGCCTCGAGTTGTTTGCTGCAGGGTTTGGGATTTGGGGAGGGGCATAGGGTTTATGGCTTACCCCTAGGCCCAAAACCCGAAGGCCTCTCTAAACTGCTTTAGGTCGTGTGGTCCTCTTAGGGGCCCTGGTAAACATCAGGGGCCTTTAAGAGAGCGCGTGCCCAAAGCAAAAAGCCGAGGTCACCGCTGTAGGCCAAGACCTCATCAGCCCAGCGGGTTGCGAGCATGATGTGATCGCCGCCTTCAGCAGGTACACAAGTGCAGGATGTTTAGGGTTTAGGGTTTAGGGTTTAGGGTTTAGGGTAAAGGGTTTAGGGTTTAGGGTTTAGGGTTTAGGGTTCAGGGTTCAGGGTTCAGGGTTCAGGGTTCAGGGTTTAGGGTTTAGGGTTTAGGGTTTAGGGTTTAGGGTTTAGGGTTTAGGGTTTAGGGTTTAGGGTTTAGGGTTTAGGGTTTAGGGTTTAGGGTTTAGGGTTTAGGGTTTAGGGTTTAGGGTTTAGGGTTTAGGGTTTAGGGTTGGGTTATTATTGCTAGGGCTTTCTTGTTTGGGGGGAGGCGGGGAGGGGGGGGGGGGGAACCCCCGCGGGGAGGGGAGGGGGAACCACTAGAATTGCTCTCTAAGAGCTTCGGAAACCGTAAACCCTAAACCCAAAACCAACCCTAAACCCTACAAGCTCGCCAAGGCTCTGAGCTTTGGATTCTTTGGAACTGACGCATCCAGGGGTCCCTCGCCTTCCGTGGTCCTTCCGGACAGCCATGGTCGTGGCTTAAGTCGTGGGCCTACTTCGTGGTTTAGGGTTTAGGGTTTAGGGTTCAGGGTTTAGGGTTTAGGGTTTAGGGTTGAGGGCTTTGGGGCTTAGGGTTTAGGGTTTAGGGCTTAGGGGGAGCTAGTTCTTTGCTGGAAGGACCGAATAAACAGTCGGGTGGCTCGAAAACCCAGGGAAGTGTGAGAATCTTCAAGAGAGCGTTGATGTTCCCCCTCATATTAACAGCCCTTACTACGGTTTAGGGTTTAGGGTTCGGGGTTCAGGGTTCAGGGTTTAGAGTTTAGGGTAGGGATTGTTGTACCCCCGACTAGAATCCCTTTTTCAGGACTCTTGCAAGTAGGATAAAGGGAGAACATGCCAACACAGAGGTGTTGCAGGCACGACTTCGCAACACTCTGAACCGAAGCGGCCTCTCCCACTGCGCGTCCTGCGTAGGGCCACCGAAAGTTGGTCATGTCAAGATGGTCTGTCATGTGGACTCCGAAAATTGGCGGTTAGACTTTGTGATGGTACAACTTGTGATGTCACCTTAAGACTGAACTTCCCAGGAGACCTTCCGACCTGCACGGCGGTGCTGTCTTGCATGGTGTAGGTCATGCTGTCCGCTTCCACGTCCTGCGGCGCTGCGGTGATGTGTGCAGGCCAACTGCTCTTGGTGCACACGGGACGGAGGCAAGACATCTTCTCTCCAAGAAGAGGGCTCCAGCTCAGCATCTTGCGTGTTCCCTTCGTGTGGCTATTGCTGATTGGACCCCGATTTCCCCGACTTGCCCGAAAGTCTCTCTTCAATAAAAGGGGCAAAAGAGTCGTAGAACATACACAAACATGCACAACTGCCATGGGACGACACAGAGCACACACCTCTGGCGAATGGCGACTTACAAGGCAATGGGTCACGGCCGTACGGATGGCCTGAACCTGATGAACAGGGATAACTGTGCTCTTTCAGCAAAAGCAAAACCGGGAGCAAAAAAAACAAAACAAGAGCCAAAAAGCAGCAATCTTCCCAAAACAGGACCAGCACAGGGAGCTCTCACCAGCAACTGCACCTGTCCTCTGGAGGCAGGGATTCACCTGGCCGATCTTGTGCAAACCCAGGTTCTGCTCTCTCAGCGCAACTAAGTCTGCATAGGGGCTTTGGGGTTTAGGGTCTACGGTTCAGGGCTTGGGGTTTAGGGTTTAGGGTTTAGGGTTTAGGGTTTAGGGTTTAGGGTTTAGGGTTTAGGGTTTAGGGTTTAGGGTTTAGGGTTTAGGGTTTAGGGTTTAGGGTTCAGGGTTTCAGCACCACATGCGCAACGCTCCGGAATTGGAGTGCTGAGGCGCCGGCTCACGGACCGGCGCACGACGCGGCGCAGCCGCCGCACCTCGTTGCGGTCCAGGCCCCAGCCTGGGTTCGTAGCTGTTTAGGGTTGAGGGTTGAGAGTTGAGGGTTTAGGGTTTAGGGTTTAGGGTTTAGGGTTTAGGGTTTAGGGGACCCCTAATAGAGACCGCAAGTAGTAGGATTCCCTTATAACAAGAACCCAGTAAGATACCCCTAACTTCGGAGACCCCCACGAAACACGGGGGAAGCAACTTAACATTACTTACCCGTATGGCTTTTGTTTTTTGTCTTTTTACATTGCTTTTCTTGACATGGCAAAGGACCAATATTAAGTTGCTATGAACATGATGAAGATGATGCATCTTGCTGATAGTAACTATGCACATCTTTTCCGATTAAGATGATTCCTATGAGTAGAAACAGTTTCTTTGTTAAGAAGCCGCGCCGGTGCCGTCTAGCCGCATGTTTTCGCCAAACAGGCGCCAGAAAGGCCACGTCTCACAAAACTCTCTCACCATGCAGCAAATCCACATGGTACGTGGCGCCCCTGCCATTGTATGTACATAGCCTTCGAACCCGACTGCCTTCAGGGCCTTATAAGTAAAGGAAGCCTCAGGCAGAGGTGACAGCGATAGGCAGGCAGGCTCCAAGGCGTTGTGCTACAGGCTTGAGGCCGGCTGAGTTGGCCGCGTTGGCTGAGCCGGCAGTGCTGCGCCGCCGCAAGCTCCTGGAGCTCGAAGTGAAGGAGATCTCCGAAGCCACAAAAGATCCGAGGCTCAGCGTCTCATCGTCCTCGGCTGCACCTGGCTCAAGTACAACCTCTGCGCCGCCTGCAGTGTCTGCAGTGCAAGCCTCCTCAGGCTCCGGCACATGACAGCGGATCGCCATCATCACAACGCTCAGGAGCATGCAGCCGGCACCCAGCAGCTTCAGCGGCTTCGGGGCATTTCCGAAGAGGATGGTCTGGGCCACGTATCCGGTGATCATGCTCGAAGATGTGAAGACGGTGGCGCTGACCGCTGCGGGACACCTTGTTGCGCCGGCGGCCGGGAGTAGGATGGAGAAGAAGGTCCACACGGTGAGGATGCACAGAAGGCCCACGGCTTGCCATGGCTTCTCAAGCACAGGCTCAAAAGAGTTCGTCGCGCCGCCCACCCGGAAGATGGGCGGCAGCAGCGCCGCGGGCACTGCAAAAAGCAGCGTGACAAAGGCGAGCAGGGACACGGAGATGTGGGCCGACTTGCGAGCACAAACAAAGGAGCATGCTTGGAAACAGCCAGACATCATTGCCAGACAGTAGCCAAGAGGAGACTGCTGCTCACCCACATCGCCAAAAAGGAACTGCGGCTGGGAGATGCACAAAGCGCCCGCTACTGAGAGAAGCAAGGCGAGCAAGTGGAGCACGCTGACCCGCTCCCCAAGGAAGACCAGGCCCAAGAGTGCCGCGGCGATGATGTCGATGCTCCTATACTCCCCTTAGAACCTGAATAAAATAATACTATTCTTAATATCCTCTTGAGTTTTATATGAACCAAAAATTATATGAAAAAAATCCCAAGGTGGATATAGGCTCGTGAGCGCCGCCACGTCGCCCGGGGCAGCCCCTACCAGCACGGAGAGCATGGCGAGCATCCAATGCAGATTCTCGAAAATGGCCCGCGCCAGCACCCACCTCGCAGACGTGCAAGGAAGCCCTAAGAAGAGGGGTCCTATGCCCTGACTACTCGAATTCCTATAAATAAACCCCCATTTAAAAAGGGGGTCATGTCATATACCCTGACGACTCTGATTCCGACTAAAAGGCGTATGAAACCCTAAACCCTTGTAGGGGTTCATAATTCCTCCCCAAGGCACTTGATGTCCCCGACTTTAGGGCAGGTCGTGCCCTGCCACCACAGGAGGAGCCCGTTCACCGAGCTCGCCACGACGCAGCATGCGGTCAGCAGGTACCAATATGGCCAGTGCATCTCCTCGATTATCTTGCTGGTGACCATCTCGCCTGAGTATGGCCCTGACAGCCCTCTGAAGCAGATTCCTGCATATGATCCTGTTTAAAGCCCAATAAGGGAACAGATTCCTGAATATGATCCTCCTAAACCCCAATGAGGGAACATACTCCTGAATATGATCCTCCTAAAACCCAAAAATAAGGGAACATAAATTCTGAATATGATCCTCCTAAAACCCAAATACGGGAAAATAGCCTAAATGACCCAAATAAGGGAACATAACTTCTGAATGTGATCCTCCTATAACCCCAAATAAGGGAAAATACCCAAAATGTCCCCCAAGGGCGTGCCCAGTCGCAGGTCACGGAGATGCCTGAAGCGAGCATCAAGAAGATCCCGACCACTTCGGTGGAGCCTTTCTTCTCCAAGAGCCAAAAAGAAAAAGGGTTTAGGGTTTAGGGTTTAGGGTTTAGGGTTTCGGGCTCAGGGTAAACTTTAATATTCCCACCAAATAAGGAAACCCAAAAATAAGTTTAAAGTTCAACTAAAGGCGAAGGAAGGAGCAGAGCATTGGGGTCGAAGGTCGGGTCTCAAAAGATCTCAGAGCCACTTTTTCCGAGTGCTCTCAACTGAGAGGCGCCTCTCCTATCCCTCGAGCCGGCTTGCAACTGCAGGGCGTTTTGTATTCTTCCAGCCCTCTTTTTTCCCTAAACCCTAAACCCTAAACCCTAAACCCTAAATCCTGGGCAAGCTCCGCGTGCGACAAACAACATCGCTCATGAGGTTCCATCGCCAAGGCAGGCGCAGACGACGCAGCCGAAGCCGAAGAAGAAGCAGAGGCGCCCGTCCTCGTCGAATGTGGGGGCGAAGGCACCAAAATTATCGGTGTCTCTGTAAACCCTAAACCCTAAACACGGCAAAATCGTTAACCTCCAGCTCGATCACGCAGACGTCAGCTGAAAGCCGGCGTGCCCGCCCTGCTGGCAAAACGCCTTCCACGGAGCAAAGCTTTACGGAAACCGCTCTGAGCGCTGCCCAGATTGGGGCAAACAGACATGCCCTGAGCCCTAAACCCTAAACCCTAAACCCTAAACCCTAACCCCTGCACCCTAAACAGTCACAGCAACTGGGCGCACGGCCTTGCTCACCTGCAGCTGCCCAGGCAGCGCAGACTTGCTCCAGGTCCAAATCCTACAGCTCCCAGGGTTTAGGGTTTAGGGTTTAGGGTTTAGGGTTTAGGGTTTAGGGTTCAGGGTTCAGGGTTCAGGGTTTAGGGGGCATCAAGCAGCTCCAAAGGCCCAGGCATCTGCAAGGCAAAGGGCATCGCAGCGCTGCCTGCCCTCTGCCTCAGCCTGCGGCAAGGGGGTTTAGGGTTTAGGGTTTAGGGTTTAGGGTTTAGGGTTTAGGGTTTCGGGTTTCGGGTTTAGGGTTTAGGGTTTCGGGTTTCGGGTTTAAGGTTTAGGGTTTAGGGTGGGGGGGTGCGAAATGTCTCCACTGGGTTTTTGACTCGCTTGCTCAGCTGCCAACATGGGAATGGAGAGCGCCCCACATCTACGCGAAAATCACGTCTATACATGCATACGTACATGCACACTTGTATACAGCATACATGCAAATACATGCATACATGGCAGCAAAGACGTTTATACAGACGCAGGTGCATGGGATCCAATTCTTTGGAGGATCTGTCAAAATGCTAGGCGCATGATGCGCATAATTTCTTGCCGCTTGGCCGATTTAGGAAGTAGGCTCCGTTGGTTTGTGGGGGTTGTTGCTCCGCACAGCTATTTGCATACTGGCTGTCAACGTCGTAAGGCCAGAACGCCGTCAACTCAAGACGAGCTGCACGGTTCACACTGGCTCTGTTCATTTCCCAACGACTATGCCAGCGAAGACCCAAAACAGAATGAAAACAGACTGACCCAGGCTGACAACTCGTGTGCATGAGGCGAGGCTTCATGGTGTTCCGGAAAGATGTTCCTCAGAACAAACCAACGAAGCTGACACAACCAAAAAAAAAAACAGATGAGCGGAGGGGTTTTGGGTTTAGGGCTCCGGGTTTAGGGTCTAGGGTTGAGGCTTTAGGGTTTAGGGTTTAGGGTTTAGGGTTTAGGGTTTGAGGCTTAACCCCTAAACCCCAAAAAGATCCTCCACTCTTTCGCCTGGCTGGCCCAAGTCTTGATCTCAGCCGTGTCGTCCTGAGCAGAATCGGCCGGGAGCTGCCCCCATGCGGGCAAAATCGACTAGGGCTCAAGGTTTAGGGATTAGAGTTCAGGGTTTAGGGTTTAGGGTTTAGGGTTTAGGGTTTAGGGTTGAGGGCTTAGCCCCAAAAAAAACCCTCATGCGGAGAGCTACCCAAGTCACTCCCAGGCTGAAACTGTGCACCCTAGCCCGTAAACCCTCAACCCGACAGCCTAAACCACTAAACCCTACCCCCAAACCCAAAACCCTAAAGCCCAAACCCTAAACCCCAAACCCTAGACCCCAAACCCTACACCCTAAATTCCCACCCGGCCTGCTTAGGCCGTACCCACCCTTTTCTAGGGTGCCTGGACGCAGTCCAGACACACCTTTACTGGATGGAGGGCGGGGCCATTGGAAAGTGGTCGAATTTAGCCGGTTGCAATAAGAGAAAGTGGTCAAAGGGATCCCCCACGATCCTCCTCTTTTGATGAGAACTCGCCTGACAAAACTTCCACAAAGACGAGTCTGACACGTTCGTGATGGTGGGAATTGAGGGCGACAGCCCTATACCCTAAAAGGCAGTGGTTTGGGTGGTGGCCTGTGAAAGCTCACAGTGTCACAGCGGGGAGGAAGAAAGAAACCTAGCACCAATGAAATTGTTGGTCTGCATTGAAAACATATTCCTTCGCGCGACATGCCGCCCTCCCACACCCCCTGGGTGTGTCGGGGCGCCATTTTCACATCGTACTTACTGCCGCTGCGCGGCGAGACGTCCTGAACCCCAAACCCTAAACCCTAAACTCCAAGCCCTAAACCCTGAACCCTGAATCCCAAACCCCAAACCCTAAACCCTAATCCCCAAACTCCAAACCCTAAACCCTAAACCCTAGACCCTAGACCCTAGACACCAAACCCTAAACCCGAAACCCCAAACCCTAAACCCTAAGCCCCAAACCCTAAACCCTAAACCCCTAAATCCCAAACCCTAAACCCCTAAACCCTAAACCCTAAACCCTAAACCCCCAAACCCTAAAACCCAAACCCTAAACCCCAAACCCTAAACCCTAAACCCTAAACCCCAAACCCTAAACCCCAAACCCTAAACCCGAAACCCCAAACCCTAACCCCTAAACCTAAACCCCAAACCCTAAACCCTAAACCCCAAACCCTAAACCCTAAAATCCCTGGGTCTCCTCCTCGGCCGGCTTCTTTGGCCGCACACCCTGGCGCCGCATCGGCACCACCACCGTCGTCTCGGCAAAGAGGGGTTTAGGGTTTTAGGCTTTAGGGTTTTAGGCTTTAGGCTTTAGGGTTTAGGGTTTAGGGTTTAGGGTTTAGGTTTAGGGTTTAGGGTTTAGGGTTTGGGGTTTGGGGTTTGGGGTTTGGGTTTGGGGTTTGGGGTTTGGGGTTTGGGGTTTGGGGTTTGGGGTTTGGGGTTTGGGGTTTGGGGTTTGGGGTTTGGGGTTTGGGGTTTGGGGTTTGGGGTTTGGGGTTTGGGGTTTGCTGTTGCAACTTGCAAACTCTTTCAAAATGTCTTCTGAAGCCCAAGGGACCTCGGAGCATATCAAGAAGAAGCCCTAGGGCACACCCAAGTCCTGCGCCAGTTCGCCCCTGGATTCATAAGAACCATAGACTCCGAACCCAAACACCCCCAAACCCCAAACCCCAAAACCTGAACCCCAAACCCCAAACCCTAAACCCCTAAACCTAAACCCGAAACCCCAAAATCTAAACCCCAAACCCTAAACCCTAAACCCGAAACCCGAAACCCAAAAATCTAAACCCCAAACCCTAAACCCCAAAACCCTAAACCCCAAACCCCAAACCCTAAACCCGAAACCCTAATTCCTAAACCCGAACTCCTGGTGCCTTGCCGCGTGCTGGCATTCCAGAGGGTGGCTCCGTTGCCGCGCAAAGGATGCGGCTTGATCTCAGGGGAGGGTTTGGGGTTTATGGGTTGAGGGGTTTGGGGTTTGGGGTTTAGGGTTCAGGGTTTGGGGTTTGGGGTTTGGGGTTTGAGGTTTAGGGTTTAGGGTTTCGGGTTTAGGGTTTAAAATTATGGTAACACAAATCAATAAGAAAAAGTCAGGAACCAATGTGATATTTACAATACATCAGAAGGTAGTACTTTTTGCAACGATGAGTAATGCTAAGCAATAGCAAGTAGTAGCAAGTGAGAACACGTTTAAGTAAGGATATAGAATCACAAGCAATAGCAAGTAAAGTACTGTTGAGGTCGAGATTCGCTCCGCCCCCCCCCCCCTCCCACCGACACGGAAAGTTGTTACCTAAGGTGACAGAAAAGAAATCTGCCCAGTGGTCGGCAATGTCTGAAGGAAGGAGGCTTCATCATGCTTCATCTTTCGTTGGACCAGCAGAGTGGGTTTAGGGTTTAGGGTTTTAGGGTTTAGGGTATAAAATGGTTTCATCTGCTACGACAATGACACCATTAGAAACAAGGAACAAGAAACATGAATTTGAAGTAAAATTGAATATGTCTTTACAGGCAAAACGCAATAGAACATACCCCGAAGTAGAAGTGGGGAACAGTGTGAAAATAATGCGTAAAAAAGGCATCAGTGAAAAAGAGAAAACGAGCCATTGGATGAGAACCCCCCCCCCCCAGAAAAATCAAACGAATAAATAAAGTTTGGTCAAAACTAGCATTATTTAGAGAACGATGATAAGACGGGTTATTTATGCCACGAATTGTTAAAGGTGTAAAAACGGTAGATATAATAATATTTGTATATTACATGTATGGGCATGTGTGTGCCAAAATGTCCCTCTCATCTCTCTCCTAAAGCCCGAGACTAAACTTGGCTGCTCTTAGCAGGGTAGCTATAAAATTTATATTTTTTAGCTGCCTTATTAAGAAACCCAATAAACCCAAAAAGGCTAAAGATGTAAAGTTACAGTAAAGCACCACAAAGTAAAAACCCTAACCCGAAACTAAAAACCGCAACCCGAAGCGGGACAAACCTTCCTGAACTCGCCGATGTCAATGCCGCGCTCGTCCACGATGAACTGCCGTGGTGTTAAGTCGCGTGTTTAGGGTTTAGGGTTTAGAGTTTAGGGTTTAGGGTTTAGGGTTTAGGGTTTAGGGTTTAGGGGTATAGGGTTTAGGGGTATAGGAGTTTAGGGCTCAGGGCATTTTATGCCTAGGGTGCACCCCCAGACCCGACACCCAAGAACCCTTCCCAGGGTCCTCCGTGGTATCCACCCGAGGCATGGAACCCTAAACCCTAAACTCTAAACCCTAAACCCTAAACCCTAAACCCTAAACCCTAAACCCTAAACCCTAAACCCTAAACCCTAAACCCTAAACCCTAACCCTAAACCCTAAACCCTAAGCCCTAAGCCCTAAGCCCTGAAACTCGAGTTCGATGCTGTTTTCCTTGTCTGCTTGCTGGCCTCCGGAAGCTCCCCTTCGGGAGCCAATTATTATCCGGCCAAGTCGTCCTTTGCGGTTGAAAAGGTTTGGCTTCTGGCTTCTTAGGGTTCAGGGTTCAGGGTTCAGGGTTCAGGGTTCAGGGTTTAGGGTTCAGGGTTTAGGGTTTAGGGTTTAGGTGCAGGGTTTAGATTATTAGACAGCCCACTCAATTTGACCTGCTTGTTCTGCAGAGGCCACCTGGCGCATGTCATTGTTCCCATCGGGAGTTTCGGTAGCGCCTTCGGACGGGTCTGCGCCGCTTTGGCTTTGCTGCCTCCAATAGCCCGCTAGGCAACTGAGGATGCCGCAAAGCGATAGCAGCAAGAGCGTGATGACAATTGCAACGGAGGCTTCGGTATTGAGCGTCGAAGAAGAGACGGTTGCGGAGGTTGATGATGTAGAGGACGTCTTCATGAACACAACGGGTGACGAAACCGATCTGACAAAGAAGTCCAAGCCATTGCCTGCTACGGCTTCCTGGGCAACGTTTGCAAGTGCATCAGCCGTGAAGGCTTGAAGGCGCATGGCCACATTCAAGGCAATTACTTGCACAACGAAGTCATTCGAGTCACTCGTGCCTGATACGTTGGATCCATCGATCATGTCTCTGACTGCCGACACGTTGTAAGCTGACACGTTCATGCTGGCACCTGCCGGAATATGAATCAAGATGTCCACAACGGCAAGCGTCTTCTTGTTGCTGTCGACCGCGAGCCGACGTGAAGAAGGCGCCGAGCACGAAATTTGGCCGGAACAACCGAAACCTGGCGTACAAGCTGAATAAAAACCATTGATGCTTGCACAAAATTCTGGGGTCATACAATCACCATAGTTGTGAGTAGAGAAGCCAGTTGTGCACCTTTCGAAAATCCAGCAAAAGTCCACTCGTTCGTCGAGCACAGCTGTTGACAGAGTGCTTCGGTCCCACACCAAGCTGAACTGGGGCACAGGCTAGCCTGAGTCAATGTACTTGTTGCCGTTCTGGATGTTGTGGCTGATGTGGACGTTGTGCCTGTGAACGTTGTGACTGACGTCGCTGTAGTTGTAACGGCCGTTGCGCTTGATGTCAATGTGCTCGTTGTAGGTGTGGTGACCGATGTCAATGTCATCGTTGTGGATGTCGTGCTTGATGTTGAGGTGATTGTGTTGGATATTGTGCTTGACGTGGATGTAACTGAAGCTGTTGTGGATGCCGAACTCGACGTCGATGTCGTAGTCGTGGATGCTGTGCTTGATGTCCACGTCATCGTCGTAGATGCCGAACTCGATGTCGACGTCGTAGTCGTGGATGCTGTGCTCGATGTCCCTGTCATCGTTGTAGATGCCGACCTCGATGTCGACGTCGTAGTCGTGGATGCTGTGCTTGATGTCCACGTCATCGTCGTAGATGCCGAACTCGATGTCGACGTCCATGTCATCGATGTTGTGGTAGTTGTCGTGATGATGCTTCCCGTACATTGGATGGCGATTTGGACGTACCCTTCCGGTACGCCCGCGGCCATTGCATACACGTGGCTGAAGAGCACCTCCAACTGCGCTCGGTTCTCACCACATTTCTGCACCTCAACGTTCGCAACTGCGGTCACCTCCGACACCAGGGGCATCTCCTGGAGCTGACGTCCCCTTCGCGACGGCCCAGTCTGTGAAGACCAAAGCTCCCAGGAGCGCAAGCGCGGCGAAGACTCGCAGCATCTTCCTTGCTGCTGGACAAGGGCAAGGCCTGCAGAGTCCAATGTCTCCAGCCACCATCATTGCGTCACTCGAGCGCTAGGTCCTTATATATCTGCTGGCAGCCTCTGGGCCATCACTTGCGGGCATGCGGAGTCTTACCAGCACCTCGGCAGGATGAACCTGGCCCACTAACAGAAAACCCTAAACCCTAAACCCTAAACCCTAAACCCTAAACCCTAAACCCTAAACCCTAAACCCTAAACCCCCAGCCGAACACCCCAACGGGGCGCCTCGACCGCGGGGGCGCTGGGGCAGCGCAGCGACGGCCAAGGTGGCGACCGAGGCTGACAGTCAAGGATGCTGCAAGTGCGAAACCCTAAACCCTAAACCCTAAACCCTAAACCCTAACCCTAAACCCTAAACCCTCGAAGACAGTGAAGAAGACAGCGGCAAACGAGGCAAAAGCTGGCACCTCGCGCCGAACGCAGTGGACAGCGTGGCGCCGGCAGCTTCGCGCCAACCGAATGGACTGCGCAAGAATGGGAACATCTACTTTAGGGTTTAGGGTTTAGGGTTCAGGGTTTAGGGTTTAGGGCTTAGGGATGTTTAGGGTTTAGGGTGTCTACATATGTACACTATACATGTACAACACTGTTCAAACATACTGATACTCTATATGTGTATATCTCTATATATATATATATATATCCAAAAGCTATATACAACGTGTGTATATGTACAACACCTATATGCGGGTATAAAAATATATACACAAAAGTATACAGATATATATATATATATAACATATAACATATATAGATATAGATATAAATATAGATACCGATATAGATATAGACATAGATATAGATATAGATACATGCAGAAACATATATCTATATATTTATTTATTTATACGTATTTCTATATATATATATATATTAACACCATGTATCTCAACTCGAACTATATTGAGTTGGGATGCTGCTGCTGACCCCGGCGGGTGACATCAGGCCCCACCTTGGGGCTCTTCGTTCCGCTGGCGGCGGCTCAGACGGTGGCGCCTTGGGGGAGGGGGGGGGGAACAGTCACCACCACGCACAGAGTGCGCCTCAACACCGCTCAGGGTTTAGGCTTTCGGGTCTAGGGTTTAGGGTTTGGGGTTTCGGGTTTCGGGTTTAGGGTCTAGAGTCTAGGGGTCTAGGGTTTTGGGTTTTTGGGTTTAGGGCTCTGGCCGAAAAACCGAACACTTCCTCTGACACACCACCAACACCATGGCAGTGCCGGCAACGCCACCTCATGGCTACGATAAAACGCTTTCCAGCAGCACATGCTACTGAACCGCTGCAGAGCCGGAAAGAAGCTTTCTAGGAGCTGGCGATGAGCAGTGCCAACTACTTAGTGTCTAGTCACAGCTACAAAAGTACTTCTGGTGAATCTGGGCAGCACTTCAAAGAGACTAAGGAGCCCATGGCGCCGGTGGCAGCACCGGCAGCAGCGCCACGGCAGCCATGGCATCAGACAGAGCTTGTGGAGTCAAAGTTTGCCCGCGACCCTGAACCCTAAACCCTAAACCCTAAACCCTAAACCCTAAACCCTAAACCCTAAACCCTAAACCCTAAACCCTAAACCCTGAGCTTCTTGGGCTTTTGTTGCTGCTGGAGGGTGAAGACTTGGGTTTGCCATGTGAAGGACTTCTTCTTGATACCGGGATCCAAATGTCCCTGAGACGTCTGGCGGCGCTGCAGTCTGCACGGAAGCTTGACAGCTGCAGCGTGGAAGAAGATGACGAGAGCTGCAGAGGTTGTTACCCAAGGAAAGGACGCGCAGCCAGCCACCACGGCGAGCGGTAGCGAAAAAGCCGGGGCCGGGTGTCACTGAAGCTGCAGACGCAGTAAGACTCCAAGACTATTTCTGTATTGCTCGCCGTCACGTCATGCGATCCCATGGCAACTGCTCCCTTTAAGGGAGGGCCCTCTACCACCTGTACTTCCCGGTGGCATGAGATGGCAAGTATGGCAAGAGAAATCAGCTCAGGTAAACCCTAAACCCTAAACCCTAAACCCTAGACCCCAAACCCTAAACCTTGAACCCTAAGCCCGGCTCAGGCTCGCTCCCAGGGCACGCCCAAGCTCATGCCGGCCTTCATCAGGCTCCGCCCCAGAGCTCCTCGATGCGATTTGAGGGTTTAGGGTTTAGTGTTTAGGGTTTAGGATTTAGGGTTTAGGGTTTAGGGTTTAGGGTTTAGGGTTTAGGGTTTGGGGTTTAAGGTTTAGGGTTTAGGGTTTAGGGCTTGCTGTGATAGGGCGTAGATGCTGTGAAGATTAGGCTTCGGAACAAGCTCGAAAGCTTCGTGAGGTGCCGAAGAGCAGCTTTGGCCCGATTGTGGAGGGCCATCTAAGATTTTTCTCCCACGCCACGCCGTCCCAGCGGCGACAACAGCCCAGTTCTCGAAGCACCCAAGAGGGGCCAGGGGCCAGGGCGGGCCGGCAGGGCCAGGGGGGCCAGGGGGAGCGAAGCCCCAAATTTTGGAGCGAGGGGTCCTGGACCCCCTGGGCCAGGGGCCCGGGCAGTACCCCCCCCAAAAGGCCAGCGACCCTCACAGTACAGTGCAGTGAGGGTATCGAGGAGAACGTGTTCCTGCTACCGACCCCCATGCTGCGGGAGGCGGGCGAGCGACCTGGGTCGGCTTGTGCCATCGAGGTCAAAGGGCTTAAGCGCCGCCCCAACGTAGGCTAGGCCCTGAGTTTAGGGTTTAGAAGGCCCAAGAGGCAACTTTGAAATAAACAATTGTTAATAACCTAATCCCATACTACGAGTTGTTTCTGAACCTATACTCGTACACTTCAAAAAGTGCAGCTTAAGGGGGCTTAGGGTCTTGGGGAAGGGGGTCTGGGTTTTTTTAACTTCAGAAGGGAAGCTGAAGGGGCTGTAGGGTTTGCAGGCCCTAAAATAACCCTCGGACTCGGAACCCCTAAACCCTAAACCCTAAACCCTAAACCCTAAACCCTAAACCCGAAACTGGGCAATTTCAGAGGCTCAGGTTTTGCAAAAAAATCGTGGCGGCCGCGGCGCCGAAGGAACTGGAGCCATGGTTCTGGAGCCACCTCGCAGAACGCTAAGCCCTAAACCCTAAACCCTAAACCCTAAACCCTAAACCCTAAACCCTAAACCCTAAACCCTAAACCCGAAAGCAACCCTCCTCACGGCCCACTTCTCTCTCGCGGCTCTCGCAACGTCCCTCCACCGCAACCTCTCGACTCACCTCCGCGGGCGAGGCGAAGCCGCGCCCCCCAAAGCCCGAAAGCTTGAAAGAAGAAGGCCAAGGTCCATGGCATCAATTCTTTTAGGGTTTAGGGTTTAGGGTTTAGGGTTTAGGGTTTAGGGTTTAGGGTTTAGGGTTTAGGGTTTAGGGTTTAGGGTTTAGGGTTTAGGGTTTAGGGTTTAGGGTTTAGGGTTTAGGGTTTAGGGTTTAGGGTTTAGGGACTCAAGATGCAACTTGCGCCCATGTGGCCATGCACTAAACCTCGGGAAGTCGCAGCGACTGCCTTTGTTCCTGGGCACAGGGTTTAGGGTTTAGGGTTTAGGGTTTAGGGTTTAGGGTTTAGGGTTTAGGGTTTAGGGTTTAGGGTTTAGGGTTTAGGGTTTAGGGTTTAGGGTGGAGTGTTCAAGAGACGGGGCCCGAGACTGGACACTTGAGGGTTTAGGGTTTAGGGTTTAGGGTTTAGGGTTTAGGGCTTAGGGAATAGTGGGTGAGTGCTGACCCGTCTTAGCCAAAGCCAAGCTTGGCGTGCATGTCATGGCCTCAAGCCTTTCAGTGGCGAGCTAAGATTAGCTGAGGTTCACGCCGAAACCATATCAAGTCCCCAACCTTGGACAGGATATCCTTGGAGTGTATGTTGACAATCGGCATTGTCACGATTTTGAGCGTGCCCCGGGGACCCTCTACCCAGATCACAGCTCCAAGTCCTCACCCACTAAACCCTAAACCCTAAACCCTAAACCCTAAACCCTGAGCCCTAAACCCTAAACCCTAAACCCTAAACCCTGTGGAACTGCAGAAGGCTCCGACGCTGGAAAACCTGTCATCCTCCAACAGGTGAGCTTCTGGGAGAGCTCCATCATCGCGGCCTCCACTTCAGCAGGAGTCATCGAGACACCTCAAGGGCAAACAGGGTTTAGGGTTTAGGGTGTAGGGTTTAGGGTTTAGGGTTTAGGGTTTAGGGTTTAGGGTTTAGGGTTTAGGGTTTAGGGTTTAGGGTTTAGGGCATAGGGTTTAGGGTTTAGGGTTTAGGGTTGGGCGGTGTGTCGACTTGCCAGTGTTCATTCGTCGTGTCATGCAGGCCGCCTTATCCCGAACACCAGCCTCCCAACATCCCCCTCAACACATCAGACGAGGCTCCCAACTCCTCGGCTACCGTCCGCAGTTCGTTGAGATCGATGTCGCCACTACCTTGGAGGGCTGCCCCTAAACCCTAAACCCTAAACCCTAAACCCTTGCAATCAGAACGGTCAGAGACAGATGACTAGTTGCCCGGCCTTGCGGCCTAGAGGAACGGATCCTTTACACCTTCCTTGGGGACATGATGAACCCTAAAATTGGGGGTCATATACCCTGAATTTAGGGTTTTGGGTTTAGGGCTTAGGGTTTAGGGTTGTAGGGTTTAGGGTTTAGAGTTTAGTGTTTAGGGATACTACCAGTATTCCTACTAAGGTATATAAGCCACAAACCCCTTTAGGGCTCATCTCTTCCCCAAGGTTGTCGTGGCTTCGTCCACCGCACTCAGCTGAAACTCGCAAGGCGGCCGTCTCTGTCGAACTTGTTGAAGACCTCCTTCAGCTGAGCCTGAGAATGAAGGCACGATGACCAAACCCTAAACCCTAAGCCCTAAAACCCTTACCCTAACCCTAAACCCTAAAACCCCAAACCCCAAACCCTAAACCACTGTTGCCCCTCCTTTGCCTCATCGGCTTCCTGTGGCCAGGCAGGCAACGAAAGTCCCAGCGCTGAGAGGCCGTGATTGCCTCGACTTGTAGACTTTCAGGCCTAAACCTTATATCCTAATCCCTAACCCGAAATCCTAAACCCTCAACCCTAAACCCTAAACATACTTTCTCATACAACAGGTATGAGCACAGCACATGCTCGAAACCCAAAAACACCAGGCCGGCAAAAACCCTTCTTCGGCGCCTCTTTGTCGGAGCTTCGAATTGGGCGGGGGATGGGGGGGCGGGGCAGGGCCCTAAACCCTAAACCCTATACCCTAAACCCGAGACCCTAGACCCTAAAACCCTAAACCCTAGACCCTACGACCCTAAACGGGGTTCTTAGAGGAGACGCGTCAGTCGAAGCCGCATGGAAACAATGAAGCCTGGGAGTCCCGAATTGAAGAAGCCCTAGCCCTAAACCCCTAAACCCCTAAACCCCTAAACCCCTAAACCCCTAAACCCCTAAACCCCTAAACCCCTAAACCCCTAAACCCCTAAACCCTAAACCCTAAACCCCTAAACCCCTAAACCCTAACCCCTAAACCCCTAAACCCCTAAAACCCCTAAACCCTAAACCCCTAAACCCCCCCCTAAACCCCTACCCCTAAAACCCAAACCCCTAAACCCCTAAAACCCCTAAACCCCTAAACCCCTAAACCCCTAAAACCCCTAAACCCCTAAACCCCTAAACCCCTAAACCCCTAAACCCCCCCTAGACCCCTAAACCCCTAGACCCCTAAACCCCTAAACCCCTAAACCCCTAGACCCCTAAACCCCTAAACCCCGAAACCCCTAAACCCCTAGACCCCTTAGGCCCTGGCTAAACTTCAGGAAGTCCAAGGCTGGCAGCGCGAACGCCGACGCAGAGTCCCCGGGCTTCCTCGGTTCACTCTTGTTTAGGGTTTTAGGGTTTAGGGTTTAGGGTTTAGGGTTTCGGGTTTGGGGTTTAGGGTTTAGGGTTTAGGGTTTAGGGTTTGGGGTTTGGGGTTTCGGGTGTAGGGCTAGCAGCACTTTCAAGTACTGCTGATGGCACCAGGGTGTCTCAATGCCTGCATTTCGCCGAAGTCACGCCAGCCACCAAGTGCGAAACTCGTCAAGGCTGACAGTCCCGGACGCGTTCCTCAGGTGGCTCGCCCAGGTGTTCTAAGAACCCTAAACCCTCACCCTAAGCCCTAAACCCTAAGCCTTAAACCCTAAACCCCAAACCCCAAACCCGAAACCCTAAACCCTAAACCCTAAACCCTAAACCCTAAACCCTAAACCCTAGCCCACTTTCAGGGAGAGCTTCGCGTCCAGCACTGCCAGAGCCTCCTTCGCCTCTGCGTCGCTCAGGTGCCGCCCTCGCAAGGGGGCACAGGGAGATCACCACTCAACGGTTTTGGGTTTAGGGTTTAGGGTTTAGGGTTTGGGGTTTCGGGTTTAGGGTTTAGGGTTTAGGGTTTAGGGTTTAGGGCTTAGGGTTTAGGGTTTAGGGTTTAGGGTGTAGGGTTTAGGGTTTGCTGTGATAGGGCGTAGATGCTGTGAAGGTTAGGTTTTGGAACAAGCTCGAAAGCGTCGTGAGGTGCGAAGAGCAGCTTTGGCCCGATTGTGGAAGGCCATCTAACACTTTTCTCCCACCCCACGCCGTCCAAGGCGGCAAAGCCACCCAAACCTATTCCTTTTAGGGGTTAGGCCTAAACTCAAGCCAACTGCTTTCTTTACATAAAACTTCTTCATTCCGTCACAGCTTTTCACAAAAAACAAGCCTCCACAGGGTCAGTCTGGGCAGGCTAGGGCCCCCAGACCAGGGGGGTCGGGGGAAGGGGGCCATCGGGGGGGGGGGGGTCAGGGGGGGGTCCTGGACACGCTGTGGTGAGGGGTCCGGGTCCTCCTGGCCTGGGGGCCTTGGGGTACCCCCCCCGAAACGGCCAGCGACCCCCAGGGTGAAGGGCTGGGGGTTTAGGGTATTTACTTTATTAAGGGGACCAGTACTGGTCCCCGGGAGAACCTGCTCCGGTACCGGGCCCATCGTGGGTGCTACCGACCTCCTGGCTGCAGGAGGCGGGCAAGCGACCTGGGTCGACTTTCGCCATAGAGGTCGAAGGGCTTAAGCGCCGCCCCCCCTCTGCAGGGGGGCGGCCTAGGCCCTGAGTTTAGGGTTTTAGGGCTTAGGGTTTAGGGTTTAGGGTTTAGGGTTTAGGGTTTAGGGTTTAGGGCTGAGGGTGTAGGGCTTAGGGGTTTTTCGGCTTTATTGGGATTTTTGGGGCAGCCCTAAACCCTAAACCCTAAACCCTAAACCCTACACCCTAAACCCTAAACCCTAAACCTCTTGAGATGCCAGGAGAGGGACCCAGCTCGGCGCAGAGGCTGCGGAGCTCGGCCAGATCGATCTGCCCACTGCCATCCTCCCACAGGGGGTTTAGGGCTTAGGGTTTAGGGCTTAGGGTTCAGGGTTCAGGGTTCAGGGTTCAGGGTTTAGGGTTTAGGGTGTAGGGTTTAGGGTTTAGGGTTTAGGGTTTAGGGTTTAGGGTTTAGGGTTTACGCATACTAGATATGTAATATGCATAATGTCTTTTCTTGCAGTAGGCATTTATGCCTTATTCTATATTCTAGATTAATGATACAAGTGCATATTGTGCAATAGATATGGAAGAGCCCTAAACCCTAAACCCTAAACCCTAAACTCTAAACCCTAAACCCTGAACCCTAAACCCTAACCCTCAACCCGAAACCCTAAACTCTAAACCCTAAACCCAAACCCTAAACCCTAAACCCTACACCCTCAACCCTAAACCCTAAACGCTAAACCCTAAACCCTAAACCCTAAACCCTAAACCCTAAACCCTAAACCCTAAACCCTAAACCCTAAACCCTAAACCCTAAACCCTAAACCCTACCCTACTCGAGGGGGGGGGGGGGGGGGGGGCACCTGATCGAAGCGCGCGAAGGCGCGAAGGAGCTCGGCCTCGGCATCGGGGCCTCCACAGAGTTGCTGTTTAGGGTTTAGGGTTTAGGGTTTAGGGTTTAGGGTTTAGGGTTTAGGGTTTAGGGTTTAGGGTTTAGGGTTTAGGGTTTAGGGTTTGGGGTTTGGGGTTTGGGGTTTGGGGTTTGGGGTTTGGGGTTTGGGGTTTGGGGTTTAATAACGTTTTAGAGGTTTTGGGCTGTAGGGGTTTTAGATGCTTTGGGCTTCCGGTGACCTGCTTCAGCCTGCTTCTGCCGCGAGTTTTGGGGGGGCACTCCCTTCCAAATTCCTCTGCTCTTGCCTCCACTGCGTTCAGCGGCACCGGTCTTTGCTGCCTGCGCGGGACGCGCGAAACTGTTACAACGCGCACAAACAGACTTAAAACCTAATCCCGAAACCCTAACCCCTTTACACACGTAATTGCACACGATCTGCCGGAGAAATTTGGCCCTGAACTCTCCCTCCCACCTCTGGGCCGCGCTCGGATCGGGTTCGGGTCTGAGCAGGTGCAGAGGGACACAGGGAGTTTTGGACACAGGGAGTTTTGTCGACGATTCTTGTCGATTATTCTTGTTTTCTTGTTGTCTTCTATCTTTGTTTGTATGATTCTATGATTCTTTTTGTGCTGTACATTTTGACGTGTTTTTCAGATAATTGGGTGTAGTAGTCAGTGACGTTCTTCTTTCAGGGCAGAGAAGGACAGCAAGAAGCTGGAAGAAGGCCCCGTACTTGGGACCCTTGGAGAGGAGCCCCGAATAGTCCCAAATCCCAAAAACCCCTACCTAAACCCCAAAAAAGCCGAAACCCGTAAAAGCCCTAAGCGCTCCCTGCTTGAAAAGGAGCCTGGCTCAGGTCCATTCCCAATGGCCCGCGGCCAGAGGTTCCCCCGGTGCTTTCACGCCGGGAGGAGCCTCGCACGGAAGAGCACACGCGGAGAGAGCCAGGAGAGAGCGGAGAGAGACAGAGAGAGAGCTGAAAGCACATGAGAGATAGAGGCAAAAGAGGGAGATGCAAGTCGAATGAAAAGGGGAAAAGGGGAAGGAAAAGAGCAAGGAAAAGGGGAAGGAAAAGGGGAAGGAAAAGGGGAAGGAAAGGGGAAGGAAAGGAAGGAAGCACAGGAAGAGATGAGAGAGAGAAGAGAGAGAGAGGGAGGGAGGGAGAGAGGGAGGGAGCGAAAGCCAGCGCCTCCAGCCGTTGGCCCTGGAGCCTGGCGGCCGGCCACCAGCACCTCAGCATCTCAGTTGCTCTCATTTGGTCCACATGTCGTTTAGGGTTTAGGGTTGAGGGTTTGGGTTTAGGGTTTAGGGTTTAGGGTTTAGGGTTTAGGGTTTAGGGTTTAGGGTTTAGGGTTTAGGGTTTAGGGTTTAGGGTTTAAGGTTTAGGGTTTAGGGTTTAGGGTTTTAGGGTTTAGGGTTAGGTTTAGGGTTTAGGGTTTAGGGTTTAGGGTTTAGGGTTTAGGGTTTAGGGTTTAGGGTTTAGGGTTTAGGGTTTAGGGTTTAGGGTTTAGGGTTTAGGGTTTAGGGTTTAGGGTTTAGGGTTTAGGAGGTTTCCTTTCTTCCGTCCATAAGGCAGTTCCTCACCCGTAAACCCTACCCTAAACCCACCCTAAACTCTAAACCCTCAGCCCTTGAACCCAAAACCCTACACCCACTAGTAGGGGCTTGGGTGCCCCAGAGCCTTTCCCAGCAACGGTGAGGAGGCTGCAACCCAATTGAACGGCTTGCTGTAGGCTTGCTATGGCCAACCCACCACCTTCCAACTCTGGGTTGAGGGTGTAGGGTTTAGGGTTTAGGGTTTAGGGTTTAGGGTTTAGGGTTTCGGGTTTCGGGTTTAGGGTTTAGGGCTTAGGGCTTAGGGTTTAGGGTTTAGGGTTTAGGGTTTAGGGTTCCAACTTCCTGGACCCCCTTTTGCTGGGACCCCTCCCTGGCATCCTTTCCTGTCCCGGGCCCCGTGGCCCGGCCCGGCTGAGCGTTTACAAAACCCTAAACCCTCAACCCTCAACCCTAAACCCTAAACCCTAAACCCTAAACCCTAAACCCTAAACCCTAAACCCTAAACCCTAAACCCTAAACCAAACTCTCTCCAACAAGCCAGGCATTGCTAAACCGAAGATCAGAAGAAAGCCATGCTCTGCACTGCGTCCATCATAGAAGTTCGGGCTTTCTGGAGATGTAATCCCTATTTCTTCGTGAATCTAGTTCGAGTCTTACAAGGACTGATACTCATGTTCCGGCGATTCCACAGATGAGTCCAGACAATAAATAACCGATTCCTAAGCCTTTATCATAATAATTTGGCTCTAGCGATAGCACAGATACAGGCCAGTGAAATAAACAAATATTGGCCCGTAGACTCATATTACAAGGGGGTTTCTCATGATTGAGCGTTTCATTCTGCGAAGGAAAAGTCTTTGTGAATGAAATCTCACTTTCTAAACTTGGGAACGAAGGCAAGTCGTTTACGACTTTTGGGGGGCGGTGAAAAGAACCAATTATCATCACGGGGCGAGTAAAAAGAAGTAGAAAAGAAGCGAATCATATTGGCGAGCGCAGTAGCATACATTACGCTCGCACACTTTGGCATATTGTAATACACGCGCCATGAAGAAGATTTCTTTTTCGCGGTTGAGTTCGCCATGTACCTTCACTTGGGGTTGACGAACATAAGAGGCCCCGAATAGAACCCACAACGGTGGAATTCCCTTGGACCCCAAAAAAAGGTACCCCCCCAATTTCGGAAACCCGACTTCGTATGCCAAGGCTGACTTGAGAGCACAGGACAGTTCAGAGAGGGGCACCTCTCAGATGCCTTACAAAGGGGGGGGTGGCACCCAAAACCCCATATCCTAAACCCTAAACCCTAAACCCTAAACCCTAAACCCTAAACCCTAAACCCTAAACCCTAAACCCTCAACCCTCAACCCACACTTCGGCATTGCTGTTCCCGCAGTTCCCGCAGTTCTCCCGGCCCTTCCGAGGCCCGGCGCCTGGTTCCAGGCTTCTTGCGGCGACTCCCTGAGTTCAGAGGGTTCGAAGTCTGGTTTAGGGTTTAGGGTTTAGGGTTTAGGGTTTAGGGTTTAGGGTTTAGGGTTTAGGGTTTAGGGTTTAGGGTTTAGGGTTTAGAGTTTAAGGGTTAAGGGTTAAGGGTTAAGGGTTTAGGGTTTAGGGTTTAGGGTTTAGGGTTTAGGGTTTAGGGTTTAGGGTTTAGGGTTTAGGGTTTAGGGCACTCACACAAGAACAGGACATGCCAGCGTGCCTTGTGATGGCCAGCGAAACGGCAAGCAAGTAGCAGAACATTCAGTGTAATACTGATGAAACTCATCATACTCATCGCATCAATAGTATCGATATGAGTAGTCTTCATACCCTAAGCCCTAAACCCTAAACCCTAAACCCTAAACCCTATGTATCAGACCCGCGCCTGAAGCTCGCTTTCAGCTGCTCGCCGAACCAGCAGAGGCGCATCTCACCTGCGAAAGAAGATGGGAGGCATCTTCAAAGGGAGCTGACTCTAGCATGCAGGCAAAGGCTGCAAGAACGCCCACTCCTACTTCCTGCGCGCGATTTGGTGACGAAGCGGGGGGGCTGGGGCTCGCAGGAGTTGAGGGTGTTTTAGGGGTGTTTGAGGGGGGGTTTAAGGGTGTTTAAGGGTGTTTTGGGGTGTTTAGGGGGTGTTTAAGGGGTGTTTAAGGGGTGTTTTGGGGTGTTTAGGGGGCGCGCGAAGCCCGTTGCAACACTTTAGAGCCGATTTGTCCGATTGGGCCTTGGGCAACACCGTCGCAAGTAAGCTCCGCCGTGAACCTGACATCGGATGCAGCGGAAACAAACAGTGGTGGAGCCAAAACACCTCGCGCTGGTCAAGGCACCAGTCGCCGTCTTCCTGCAACTCGCCGCGATACCGCCTGCGACAAGCAGACGATTTTGAAGGGATGGGAAAGCAGATTTTTTTCAAAGGTCCAAAGTTCACACGATTCCTTGATGCTCTCGGCCACCGCTCTCTCAGTCTCGGCCAGGGCACTCGCCGGGCTCGACGAGCTCGTCGAAAACGAGGCTCCTCAAACACTTGGCCCGGTCTGTAAGGGTAGTTACTGAGCCTTAGTATATGGGCCCTTAAAAGGGTACCCCTTCCACACCCCTTTTTTTACATACATCGGAACCCTTTAAAGGTGGTTAGGGACCATACTTAAGGGCTCATGAAACTACCCTCAGATGGTCACAACCTATGCGAGAACACTGATGTTTGTATTGTGAATGCTCGTAATACTGCTCATATTGCTCATACTACGAAAATTACCTATGTTCAGATCCTCAAAGTTGGTACAGCACTGCCGGTCTGCACTCTCTCACACACACACACTGTACTTGGAGGTTCAGGGTACCCAGAGTCCAATTGTAACTGCACTTGTAAGCCCACTAACTCCTCTAGGTACGTCATAAGTAGACTTATAATATCTTATAATCGGGGTTGAAAGTACCCTAAACCCTAAACCCTGAACCCTCAACCCTAAACTCTACACCCAAACCAAGAAACCCTAGTTGGGGTGAGAAGTACCCATGAACCTAAAAGTAGAATAGTTCACGCACTCTGCGCAATATAGGGGCCTGAAGGGACCGTAAGGGAATACTACTACTATTCCGACCCCTATACGTACTGCTGGTTAGCAGGGAAAGGGGGAACGAGGCACCCCATATAGTCCCTTAAAGGGTATAATATAGGGCCCTACATTATACCCTTTAAGGGACCTCATTCCGTCATTCCCGGCGAAGCAACAGTAAGTACCCGAAGGACATCCCAAATCTTCGGACGAGTGGCCCGTTCTCAGAGGTAATCTGAAAACCTGAGAGCAGATCCAGGGTTTAGGGTTTAGGGTTTAGGGTTTAGGGTTTAGGGTTTAGGGTTTAGGGTTTAGGGTTTAGGGTTTAGGAGCAGATCCAGGGTTCGGGGTCAAGGGTTTGGCTTGGGGTTTTGGGGTTTAGGGCTTAGGGCTTAGGGCTTAGGGCTTAGGGCTTAGGGTTTAGGGTTTAGGGTTTAGGGCTTAGGGTTTAGGGTTTAGGGTTTAGGAGCAGATCCAAGGTTCGGGGTCAAGGGTTTGGCTTGGGGTTTTGGGGTTTAGGGCTTAGGGCTTAGGGTTTAGGGTTTAGGGTTTAGGGCTCAGGGTTTAGGGTTTAGGGTTTAGGGTTTAGGGTTTAGGGCAGAGGGTTTAGGGTTTAGGGCTTAGGGTTTAGGGCTTAGGGTTTAGGGCTTAGGGCTTAGGGCTTAGGGCTTAGGGTTTAGGGTTTAGGGCTTAGGGTTTAGGGTCTAGGGTTCCAAGATCCGAGGCTTCTGCAGCAGCTGGACTGCGCCACACGTGAAGCCAAGGTGCAGCCATCGGGTGCGTAGAACCACCTGCCTCTGCAGTTGCTCAAACTGGGGGGTTTCCGATCTTAGGGGTATCGTACTGTTGCAAGGGGGGATCCTACTATTTGGGGATCTGTTAAACCCTAAACCCTAAACGCTATTTCCGTAAATCCCCAACTTGACAGTAGCACCACACAAGATGCCACAAAAAACTCTGGCGGCCGAGGGCTTCGGGACTCCACTGCGCGCGACCTTCTGCAGTGTCTTGCAAAGTTTTGACAAAAATGAGGGTTTCCGAAATAGGGGGGGGGCGTACCCTTTTGGGGGGGGGGGGCTTTAAGGGGTTCTGTTCTATTTTGGGGCATAAAAGGGGTGCCCCGATTTTTGGGAATACCCAAATGTCAACCGCCCCTAAACCCTAAAGCCTAAACCACAGAGAATCTACCTCACCCGATCACCCCCGTCTCCAGCCTTCAAGCGCTGCACCCGCATCGGCCTCATCAGCCAGCACTGGTAAGTCACCAGTGAAGGCCCGGACGCCTCGCATGTCAGTCGGTCAAGAAGATGACATGAGGATGATGCCCTCACCTCGGGGGGACCCACCGAGCCCAAAAAATTGGGGATCACATACGCGAGGCTACTGTAACCCCGAATTTAAGGTAACCAGAATGTTCAGTTGTCCCCCAAGGCACTTGAACCAAGCAAGCCATTGCGGAGCTGCGTTGCAACATGGCACAAGAGCACCCCTAAACCCTAAACCCTAAACCCTAAACCCTAAACCCTAAACCCTAAACCCTAAACCCTAAACCCTAAACCCTAAACCCTAAACCCTAAACCCTAAACCCTAAACCCTAAACCCTAAACGACCCGAACTGCTCTTAGTAGCTGCTTCCCAAGCACGCGGGTTGCCCCCGGCGCGTGGGCCGAAGAATGCCTTGCAGACGCATGATCCATTGGGATGTTCCCCTCTTATACTAACAACCCTTAGTAGGTTTTTTTGTAAATCGGGGGTGCTATCCATTGGGATGGTTCCCCTCTTATACCAACAGCTCTTCATAGGATTTTTCATGGAGGGGGGGGTACGATAATCCGCAGGAAAGACTGCGGAAGCCACAGAGACGCCTCTCTGAACCTCGAAGGGGATCATGAGACTGTGGCGACACAAGAGGAAACGACAAGACTCGAAGACACGCACAGAATTGGCGGGGGGGGGAGACCAAACCCAGAAACTGTGTGTTGTGATTGCCTGGGCTTTCAATGTTGGGTCTTCTTGTCGTTGCCCGGGTCGCCGCTGCTGCGGGATGCTTGTGCCTGTTTACGACATCCCTGCTGGTGCAGGCAGATCTTGACTGAAGAGCTTGCAAGGATTCCCCCCGCCCCCCCCCCTGTTTGGGGATGGGGGGGGGTCTCCTGGGTGGAGGGTCATAGCGTTGCGGCCAGGAACTCGAAGAAAGGTGGTACACAAGCATGGACCCTGTGTGAGCCTTTCTGTGGCGACCTGTGCTCTAGGAATCCCCCGGCCAAAGAACAAAAAGCAACAACCGATGACATCTTGGGATGTTCCCCCCGTATGCTAACAGTCCCTAATAAGGATTGTGGTACCGTGAAAACCCCTAATTTCATCCCTATGAACAACTGTTCGTACAAGGAAAAACAGTCCTAAATAGTGATTAGAGCACCTCCCTATTATTATACCTGTGAAGGAGTTAAGGGTTTCGGGTTTAGGGCTTAGGGCTTAGGGCTTAGGGTTCAGGGTTTAGGGTTCAGGGTTCAGGGTTTAGGGTTTCGGGTTTCGGGTTTAGGGTTTAGGGTTTAGGGTTTAGGGTTTAGGGTTTAGGGTTTAGGGTTTAGGGTTTAGGGTTTAGGGTTTAGGGTTTAGGGTTTAGCCAAAATCCCAAGATGACATCAAAAAGCGCCGAGAGGCAGCGGGCCGCGGAACAAGAGGCAGCAGGGGGTCTCGCCGACCCCTGCGGAGCCGATTGGCGCGTGGGCAGAGGTGTTTGGGGTTTAGGGTTTAGGGTTTAGGGTTTGGGGTTTAGGGTTTGGGGTTTAGGGTTTAGGGTTTAGGGTTTAGGGTTTAGGGTTTTCTTCCCTGCGGCTTGGTTTGACACTCCACTAAGCTCCCAGAAGAGTCCATAAAGGTTCGAAGGACAGGGTACATTCTCGAATATTGTATAGAAATACCGTTTATTAAATAAATAAAAATAGCTAGTTAATTAAGTAATGATTTAATTCATTCATTAAGTAATCAAAGAAAAGTAAAATATAGTTTCTATGTACTTGTATAATTACCTGACTACGCATTTTGCGAGGCTATATGTATGTATGTATGTATGTATGCATGTATGTATGTATTATGTATGTAGTACGAAAGGGCCTCACCACCAGCCGGCCGGCTCGGTCCTTCAGGCCTGAGAGCGCTGTGCGCGGATCCACATCTCATGACATTCCATACATGGTTTCCGAAAGTAGGGCGGTGCAGGGTTTAGGGTTTAGGGTTTAGGGGTTAGGGTTTAGGCTTCAGGGTTTAGGGTTTAGGGTTTAGGGTTTAGGGTTTAGGGTCTATACATGGCGGGGTTTCCGAAAGTAGGGGAGGGGTACCCTTTGTTAGGGAGATCCTAGAATTAGTGGTATTTGGAGGGCATATGAAGAGATACCTTTCGGGATGTTCTCCCTTCCCCTAACAGTCCTTCACAAGGATTATCGTACCCCCCCTATGATAATCCCTATTAAGGACCATTAGAAAAAGGGGGAGCATCCCAAGATATCCCCCCCTATTTTGAGAAACGCCCCACACGGCTTCCGAGGCGCCGTGGTACAACATCTCCAGGTCGAGCCTCCGCCGGGAGCTTTCTTGGGACGACCCCTCTGAGGGCTCAGTCTCCCGAAGCCCTAAACCCTAGCCCTAAACCCTAAACCGCCCTAAACCCTAGCCCTAAACCCTAAACCGCCCTAAACCCTAGCCCTAAACCCTAAACCCGAAACCCTAAACCCTCTCTGCAGAACTCACCCCCGCTGCACCAGCCTGTGGTCGAGGCTGCTGGCAACGGCGCGCCAGTCTGCGGACGCCTCTGGAGAAGACCAATGACAATGGGCCAATGACCAAATCCACCAGAAAAACCACAACAAAAATTGAAACGACCCCAAACCCTAAACCCTAAACCCTAAACACACTAAAATCCGTGCTTCGGCCGACTCGATCTCTTGAAGCTCCGGGTCGAAACATATGGCAACGTCCACTTGGAGGTTCATGGTATTTGTTCACCAATGATAACTGTACTTGTAACTGTACTTCGAACCATATTAGGGCACTTAAGCGTTTAGGGTTTGGGGTTTAGGGTTTAGGGTTCAGGGTTCAGGGTTTAGGGTTTAGGGTTCAGGGTTCAGGTCGGGTTTAGGGTTTAGGGTTCAGGGTTTAGGGTTTAGGATTTAGGGTTTAGGGTTTAGGGTTCAGGGTTCAGGGTTCAGGGTTTAGGGTTTAGGGTTTAGGGTTTAGGGTTTACGGCTTAGGGTTTAGGGTACTTATAAGTGGGAAATAAGTACCTTTCTACTTGGTTAATAAGCATCATGAACCTCCAAGAAGTCCCTAGCACTGCCTCCTTCAGAGCTTGCCGCAGGGCGGGGAGTGCCCGGTCTTCGCCCTCGCACCAGACTAGGGTTTAGGGCTTGGGGTTTAGGGACTAAGGTTTCGGGGTTTAGGGTTTAGGGTTCAGGGTTTAGGGTTTAGGGTGTAGGGTTTAGGATTTAGGGGGTTTAGGGTCTTAGGGTTTAGGGTCTGCGGCTTAAACAACTTGAGGAGGTCAAGAAAACTATTCGGGGGCGGGTCCCGGCATACGCAACACGTCCCGGGACCTCGAGCATGCTCTTGCTGAGCGGAGCGTCCGTCAAGAAGAGCTTGGCGCGATCGCCCTCACATGCCGAAATCTTCAGCTCAGTGCTTAGGTGACCCAGCCAGTTGGGGGCCAAGAGAACCCTGAAGCGTATGGTCATTACATATTGTTTCTGCTAGAACTATTTTTTGTTTGTTCTTGCTATTCTGCTACCTCTCAGAATGACCCCGGCCTTGACCGGCAGCGCTGAAAAGTACCGGAAAAGCCTTGGGTGACGAGCTGACACCAGTATCCTTCCTCAGGCCTTCTCTGCGCCAAGGGGCCTGAGAACTTCTTTGATTTCTTGCTGTAAGAGCTCCTCCCAAGATGACCAACCGTATCGATTGTCGAAGACACGACGGCGCTGAGTCAAGGTCGAAGACACGACGGCGCTGAGTCAAGGATGAAAGGTGGCGAACTAACACACGAGAATGAACCCAGAACCTCTCCTTGTCTAAGACATGGAGGTCGTCGTCAGAAACCTTGCAGCAAGTTTGCTGCAGGCGCCGTGTAGACATGCTGTCATGATCCGGGCGCGCCTGAACCGCGATCTTTTCAGCGATGACCGCGGCCTTCTCCTAAGCTGCGGAAAAATCGGGGAATCGGAATGCTGGCGACCCTAAACCCCAAACCCCCAAACCCTAAAACCCAAGCCCTAAACCCCAAACCCTAAAGGCCAGGGAGCCGGTTTAAATTTCGCCGGGATGTCAGCCAGGTGGGTCTCTTCCTCCTCCTCCTGCCGGCTGTGCCTCACAAGAGCCAGCAATGATTTGGGGAATTCCGAGAATAGGGGCACCCTTTTTCGGGGAAGCAGGTGCCTAAACAACCTGGTTGTTTCGTGAACTTTTGGAGAGGTTTGGGTTTTTTAGGTACCCGTGACCTTTTTGGGGGGTCCCTTTCAGGGGATTCTACTCTATTTGGGGTATATAAGCACCCCTGGAAATACCCCGTTTTTGGCATCACATTCAAGGTTGCACATCCCGGCAGCCCTCTTTGAGGCATCGCGAGGCCTCACCAAGATCTCCAACTCCAGGACCTGACACACTTGGGAGGGTTTCCGACATTCGGGGGTACCTTGTTGGGTACCCAAACCCTATAACCCTAAACCCTCAACCCTAAACCCCAAACCGGGTCCTTATGTTAAAGGAATCCTACTATCTGTGGGGCTGTTATATCAGGGCCACTTGCCAGAACATGCCACAGGCGTGGACATCTGCTCAGACTCGCTTCGATGCGTGCAGAAGAGATTGTTTATTTAGAGAGCTGACCCTCTCCTAAACCCTAAACCCTAAACCGTAAACCCTAAACCCTAAACCCTAAACCCTAATCCGAAACCCTAAACCCTAAACCCTAAACCCTGAACCCTGAACCCTAAACCCTAAACCCTAAACCCTAAACCCTAAACCCTAAACCCTAAACCCTAAACCTTAAACCCTAAACCCTAAACCCTAAACCCTCAGGGTTGCTGGGGCAAGCCTTGGAGCCCGGAGGCCAGGCCGCAGCGGCGTTCAGCAGCGACAGGGCCGCGTTCCGCACCTTTGGGGGGGGGGGGGGGGAGAGGGGAGATTAGGGTTTGGGGTTTAGGGTTTCGGGTTCAGGGTTTCGGGTTTAGGGTTTAGGGTTTCGGGTTTATTGGAGATTAGGGTTTAGGCTTTGGGGTTTAGGGTTTAGGGTTTAGGGTTTAGGAGCTTCACGTGCGCCGTTTTCTTTCATTTTTCTCGGATGCAACCCTCTTCCAACAGGGGAGCCCCGAGGCCTGAAGGCCAGCGATGCTCCGCATGCCGCCGCGGCCCAGGCGCGCGCGTCGTTGCTTCAGGTCCTTGGTTTAGGGTTTAGGGTTTAGGGTTTAGGGTTTAGGGTTTAGGGTTTAGGGTTTAGGGTTTAGGGTTTAGGGTGTAAGAACGGGGATAGAAGGAGAGGGAGGGGGGGGCGGGCTGGGGAAAATGGAATGGCAATGCCATGTCTCTGACCACAAAACTAAACTGGACGGCGAACCCAACATTATTCTTTAAAGTTTTAATGAGTATATATATATATATATAAAGAAATAGTCATAATAACAATAAGAATAATAACAATAATAACAATAATGACAATAATAACAATAATAACAATAATAACAATAAGAACAATAATAACAATAATAACAACAATAACAATAATAACAATAATAACAATGATAACAATAATAACAATAATAACAATAATAACAATAATAACAATAATAACAGAAATACCAATAATAACAATAATAACAATAATGACAATAATAACAATAATAACAATAATAACAAGAATAACAAGAATAACAAGAATAACAATAATAACAATAATAACAATAATAACAATAGTAACAATAATAACAATAATAACAATAATAACAATAATAACAATAATAACAATAATAACAATAATAACAATAATAACAATAATAACAATAATAACAATAACAATAACAATAACAAAAAAGAAAAGAACAAAAGAACAAAAAACAAAAGAACAATTAACAATAAACAATAACAAGGAGCCTGGCGCATGGCGCGGAATCGCTGCTGAGCCTCGCAGTCTCTTGCAGCTGGAAGCAAGCGCCCCAACACAACTCAAGCTCACAGTATCTGCTCAGGGTTTAGGGTTTAGGGTTTGGGGTTTAGGGTTTAGGGTTTAGGGTTTAGGATTTCGGGTAAGGGTTTAGGGTTTAGGGTTTAGGGTTTCGGGTTTAGGGGTTAGGGTTCGGCTGGGGATTCGGGAGGGATTCGGAGGGAGTCTGCTTCGCCACCGCGCCTGCAAAACCTTCGCCGCTGCGCGGATGGCAGCGCCAGGATGTGGGGCCAGGGACACCTCTCGTAAGGGGTATTTAGGGTCTAGGGTTTAGGGTCTAGGTATTTTAGAGTTTAGGGTTTAGGGTTTAGGGTTTAGGGTTTAGGGTTTCGGGTTTAGGGTTTAGGGTTTAGGGTTTGGGGTTATTGAAGGGACTATATGTTCCTTTTATGGTCGCTATATAGTAGCCCCTAAGTAACCCCGCAAACAACCTGAGGTCCCCTGTAAGGGTTCCTCCATTAATCCCTCGGTCCCGAGGAAGGGCTCCGCTTACATGGGGTTTCCCAGAAGAGGGGTACCCCGTTTATACTCCCAAATAGAATAGTACCCCCTTACAGGGACCTCCAAAAAAGGGTACTGCACTTTCTGAAGACGACGGAGCATGAGGCAACAAAAGCCGAATGAAACCCCCGAAGGGTTGGCGAACGGTGGCACCCCTAAACCCTAAACCCTAAACCCTAAACCCTAAACCCTAAAACCCCCCCCCCCGTCGCGTGTGTTGCACAGGCATGCCCAGGCGCAGCCGCGCGGATCCGTGCTGGCAGCTCCTTGGGCTTAGGGAGGGGACGGGGGGCTTGCAATAGTTTAGGGTTTAGGGTTTAGGGTTTAGGATTTAGGGTTTAGGGTTCAGGGTTTAGGGTTTAGGGTTTAGGGTTTGGGGTTTAGGGTTTAGGGTTTAGGGGTTTAGGGTTTAGGGTTTAGGGTTTAGGGTTTAGGGTTTAGGGTTTAGGGTTTAGGGTTTAGGGTTTAGGGTTTAGGGTTTAGGGTTAGTTTAGGGTTTAGGGTTTAGGGTTTAGGGTTTAGGGTTTAGGGTTTAGGGTTTAGGGTTTAGGGTTTAGGGTTTAGGGTTTAGGGTTTAGGGTTTAGGGTTTAGGGTTTAGGGTTTAGGGTTTAGGGGCACCATCATCGCACGAGAGAGGCGGTCTCAAGAGCACTTCTGACGAGCCGCGGGATCTGAGTCGCAGTGCAGCGCCAGGACATTCTCCTTCTTGGCGGCGCCTTGCACACCCCCCCGCAAAAGACAGGCTTTTGCTTTAGGGTTTAGGGTTTAGGGTTTAGGGTTTAGGGTTTAGGGTTTAGGGTTTAGGGTTTAGGGTTTAGGGTTCAGGGTTTAGGGTTTAGGGTTTAGGGTTCAGGGCTTCGGGTTTGGGGTACCCTCACTAGCAAGCCATGGAGCAGCCTAACTTGACAGGCACACGACCTGCCGATCTCTGCAAACAACTGTACGGCCAGTCGAGGCAAACAAGGCTTCCGGGGTCCTCCAGCCGAACTGTCGGCCCAAGCACAGCTGAGAACTATGGATCCAAACAGGAAAAGCTCAGAGAGTGCTGAGAGTGAAGGCTGCATTGCTCCGAGAGCACCTTCCCAGAAGCCATGCAGAGCGATCAGCTGGCTGCTGCCTTCCGTGATCTCCTGAATCGACACCAAACGCGTGCCACGACGTGCAGGCATGCGACTGTGTGTGAGAGAGAGAGAGACTAGACAGAGCCAGGATGGCAATTCCGCGCAGTGCCCTATTTTTTTATTGTGGATGTCCTGGACAAGACACCGCATGAGGGCGAACATGTCTGAAAGCTCACATGGGTTTGCACCGGAGAGGGCGTATTTGTTGAAGGGGTGGCATAGGATTGCGCACTCAAGCACACCTCGCGCAACGCGCGCGCGCGCGCGCGCGCGAATCAGAAGCATTCAGAACTCATGTAAGCATGCTTCCTCGACGATCTGATAGTTTCTAACCCCCCGCTCCGGCATGGAGATGCCTTGCAAGGATGCCAGGCTCAGGGCACCGGATCCATCCAGAACGGCCATGACCTGCTGAAGCCTGTCACGCCGTGCTTTCTCTCGCGCTTTGAGATGCAAAAAACACTAATCACGTTAACAAAGAGCAATAATCATGATAAAAAAAGAACAATAATAAGAATATTAGTAGTAGTAATAATCATAATAAACTATTGAAGAGAGCATTCTGCAAAAACCGAGGCAACAACAAGTCTCTGCCCGACCTCCACTCCCGCTTCTCCTCGGATCCCTCGGGCTCCATCAGGCAGAGGAAGTTGTTCCGGTGGTCCACTTGCAGAATCTTCCTTGGAAGCCAAAAGAAAAGCCATTTCTTGCATTCATTAAACCCTAAACCCTAAACCCTAAACCCTAAACCCTAAACCCTAAACCCTAAACCCTAAACCCTAAACCCGGCTTCTCATGCCGGGTCGCGTCTCCCAGCCGTCGCTCTGCCGTGCATTGACGTGCCTCAGATGCCATGAAGCTCACAAGGCTTTAGGGTTTAGGGTTTAGGGTTTAGGGTTTAGGGTTTAGGGTTTAGGGTTTAGGGTTTAGGGTTTAGGGTTTAGGGTTTAGGGTTTAGGGTTTAGGGTTTAGGGTTTCTCAGCGACTTCTGGCAGACCTTCTGCGTAAGATCAATGGCATTGACTTCAAGCTCGATCAGTCTTGTGGCAGGAGGTCCCTAGACCCTAAACCGATTGAACGGGTCTCCCAGCCCTAAACCCTAAACCCTAAACCCTAAACCCTCTTCATAGCCACGGCGCCAGGCCGAGACTTGCAGCCCGCCCTGTTTCAGCGGAGCCACCTGGGTGTTTGGATCTGTACATAACTGGACTTACTAACGTACCTATGCATAGACAGGCAAAGAGAGAGAGAGAGAGAGAGAGAGAGAGAGAGGGAGGGAGGCAGGGAGGGAGGGAGGAAGAAGAGATACATTACATGACTTTACCTTACATTACATTACAGTGCATTGCATTACATTACATAGAGATATATGAGATTGGTAGGTACCGGGCGGGGGGGGGGGGTCGCATATATGCATTTCCGGCTCAGGACCACACCTTTGGGGTCGCCGGGTGACAGTTCAGTTGACGTTGTGGAGGCCCCTAAACCCACGCATTACTATCATGAGTATTGCTATTGAAGATTCTTGTTAATAATGCTATCATCACTATTATTAGTATTCTGGTCATCAATATCAGTATTATTAATATTTGGTATTGTGAATATTCATATCAATGCTGTTGCTATTATGGGGGGCCTACGCTCCCCACAAACTGCAGCGCGAGAGGCTAACTCCCGGGCCTTCGGCAAGCCCAGCGCCTCCTGCGTTTCAGGGACGCAAGAAAACAGAAAAGTCGAGAATAATTTTGCTACATATATAGAATACAATAATAAGAAGAATAATAAGAAGAAGAAAAAGAGGATCATAGCATGAACATTATTATCAACAAAAACGTTTAAAGAGTGACAACAAGAAGAATAGGAATGAACAGCTCACAACCGAAGACATGCTGTTTGCTGATTGTGTTGGTGGCGGCGCTGCTCAAAGTGCTGATGACAATGCTGGTGGTAATGATCTTGTTGATGACAACGGCTCACTGGTTGCCAGGGTTATCACACTTGCGGGCTTGATAGCAGCGTCATGCATCTGAGCTGTTGGATGGCTTCTTTGCAAAACTTGGTAACGTTGCACCGGGTTTTGTTTACCGACCCGCAAATAATCACAAGATTCCCGGAAGTATTCTGGGAACTCAGTTTGTTGACGTCACCCGCGATTCTCGGCCCATTGTGAAGGAAATTCTTTCTATTTGGGTCAGCTTCATGGGCTTGACATAGCTTGACATCATGCACTTCCCGACGCAGAGAGCTGCTCGGGCACAAGGACCATGGCACCCTTGGCTCACTTCTCTCAAACTGAAAGTACTAGTAGTCATCGTATACAAGCAGCGAAGTGCGGACAACGAACAAACACAACCTGAGTAGCAAACAACCATCATAGTAAAAATCCCACAAATAATTCTGTAGTCATTCTAAGCGACAGAATAGCAATAAATATACTAATAATCGCAATAACAGATAGTAAGAATACAAATGGTCCTGATAACAGTAATAGCAGCAATAATTTGGAGCCAACAGCTCGCAGAAAATGACAGTCGTAGATTCGAATAGCAATACCCTTGATAATATCGAGGCTACAGGCCAAACAGGTGCTAAACACCCAAGCCCTGAACCCCAAACCCTAACCCTAAACCCTAAACCCCAAACCCTAACCCCTAAACCCTAAACCCTAAAGGCCTCAGCTTCGCGTAGGGAGAGGTGCTGCGGCGGAGGCGGCTGCTTCACGTGAAGCAACTGCCTCGACTAGGAGGAGGATCCGAAGAGTTGAGGGTTGAGGGTATAGGGTTTAGGGTATAGGGTTTAGGGTTTAGGGTTTAGGGGTTTAGGGTTAAGGGTTTAGGGTTTAGGGTTTAGGGTTGAGGGTTTAGGGTTTAGGGTTTGGGGTTTAGGGTTTAGGGTTTAGGGTTTAGGGGACCTAAGTCCCATAAACCCTCAGCCCTACCTGCCGCCGAGCTGCACCGGCCTTCCGGCCTCGCTTCCCTCCTCTTCAATGCCATCAGTCTCCTAAGATAGGAGCTTCAGCCCAAAGCTGCGACCCTAAACCCTAGCCCTAAACCCTAAACCCTAAACCCTAAACCCTAAACCCTAAACCCCAAACACAAATCCCACGGATGCCCAACACCCAAAAAAAAAAATGAAACTTTAACCCCGAGACCCCTTCTACCGATCCGGATACTTCCCCAAAGCAGGGTTTGGGGTTGTGGGGTTTAAGGTTTCGGGTTTAGGGCTTAAAGTGTGGGGTTTGGGGTTTAGGGTTTTGGGTTTAGGGTCCCTCTCCAAATACCAACACACTAGAATCCTTCACATCGGAACCAACAACAAGGGGAACCCCTAACCCCTGAACCGCTGGACCACGAAACCCTGAACCCCGAAACCCTGAACCTAAACCCCAAGCCCAACAAAAAACCCTAAGCCCTGAAGCCCTGAAACCCTAAACCCAATAAACCCCGTTCATCCCGCGAACCCTAAACCCCAAACCCTAGACCCAAAACCCCAAACCCCAAACCCCAAACCCTGAACCCCCAACCCCAAACCCTGAACCCCCAACCCCAAAACCCTAAACCCACAACCCCTAACCCCAAAACCCCTAAACCCTAAACCCCAAACCACAAAAACCCCCTCAACCCTAAACCCTAAACCCCAAAACCCCTAAACCCCTAATCCCTAAACCCCAAACCCCTAAACCCCAAACCCCAATGACTCCGAGTCGAGGGTTCGGTGATCTGGAGCGTGTAGGTCGTATTCCAGGCAGTGCCATCCCAGACGATCCAGCCGCGGGCGTTGGTCGGGCACTCCACGTCATCCTGCCATGATACCATGGAAGGGAGGGGGTGCCGGTTTAGGGTTTAGGGTTTAGGGTTTAGGGTTTAGGGTTTAGGGTATGGGGTTTAGGGTTTAGGGTTTAGGTTATGGGGTTTAGGGTTGAGGGTTGAGGGTTTAGGGTTGAGGGTTGAGGGTTGAGGGTTGAGGGCTGAGGGTTGAGGGTTTAGGGGTATCATGCCATGAGGGTTGAGGGGTTAGGGGCTTTCGGGTTTGGGGGTTTTGAGGTTTAGGGTTTTGGGGTTTTGAGGTTTAGGGTTTAGGGTTTTCGGGTTCAGGGCTTTGGGGTTTAGGGTTTAGGGTTTAGGGTTTAGGGCCCAACAGGGTTGAGGGTCTGGGCTTCTCGTTTAGGGTTTAGGGTTTCGGGCTTAGAGTTTCTAGGGTTTTGGGCTTGTAGGGTTTCGGGTGCAGGGTTTAGGGTTTAGGGTTTAGGGTTTAGGGTTTAGGGTTTAGGGTTTAGGGTTTAGGGTTCAGGGCTCCTTGGCGTACGCGCGCCCCATCCAGATATCACTTTCATGGACGCCGCCATCCGACAGGAGCCAGATCCCCCAAGACGCGCGGTAGTAAAGCCTCGAGGTTTCCCCATTAAAGCTACACCTGAATGGTTTAAGGTTTTGGGTTTAGGGTTTAAGGTTTGGGGTTTAGGGTTTGGGGTTTGGGATGTAGGGCTTCCGGTTCAGCGCACATTCAAATCGAAAATCGAAGACAAGGTGAAGAAGGCCCGCGTCGCACACCCAAGTGAAGCCGAAGAGCTGTTTGCCATGGACATTCTGGTAGATGGGGCGATACCTCAAGACATGGATGCTGCGCTTAACAGGACTACCTTAACAAAGGGGGACAATATGTTGCCCCCCCCCCTTTGTGTCGTGGAAAGGATTGGAATCCAACACATCTTCTCAAGATGGTCAACTTGCAGCCCTGCCACGCTTGGAGCGCTGTCGGCTGGATGTTGGTTTTGAAGAATGTGCCTGGGACGGCGGCCAAAAAAAGAATCGACAACCAAAAGGTCGGTAGGGCTGAGCGGCTAGGGCGGCTAGGGGCTAAGCACCCGGGTCCCCGGACAGTTTCTTGGACAAATGCATCCCGTTCAAGGAGCGGCTGCAATCATTGGTACCGCTTCACCCCAAGCTACAGCAATCACAAAGCTCTCAAGCTCAAGCTGAAAGGAAAGATGACAACGTACACCCCGGCCCCAACATGTTCTCAGGGCAACGGAGGAAAAAAGGGCCCAGGGGGCCACCATCTGTGGAATGCAGGATCCAATGAGGCCTCCATTCTCACAGCGCGCGAAGCTCGGTTGTTTCTCCTCGAACACGAAGAGCCCGGAGGTTTCGAGGGCACAAGCATCATCCGAAGCTATCGGACTCATCAGCCACAGGATAACTTGGGGGGGCGCATTCCCAAACCTCAAGATGGTCCAGGAGGTTCAAGGCATCTTTCATTGCCTCCCGGAAGCTGGAAAGGACTTGAAACTTGGGATGTCCCTCCTTTCTACAAGCAGTCCTTAATGGGGATTATCATAGGGGGGAGGG